TATACAAGCGAGCACGAGGGTTCTACGGGAAGAGATCTCACCGGCCACGAGCCGCGGTCCGTGAAATTTCTGGTAATATTTCCACGAGTCGGTCTTTCTTTCTTTCTCTTTCTCTCTCTCTCTCTTTCTCTTGAAAATAGAGATGCAGCTTTGTATATACCATCACACTCGACGTTCTCCGCACCTTCTTTCCGAACGAAATCCGAACGAATTCCCTTGCCATGTCAGTGATACTCCACTCGTTGTTATTCCTTTCGCACGTTGCGAACAGTTCAGTGCACAAATATGAAAAACAGAGAAATAGAAATGGAAAAAGAAGAAGAAGAAGAAGAAGAAGAAGAAGAAGAAAAGAGAGATACCTTGGATTCCTTCGTTCGCTCGATTAGTATGGAAGATAGAGGAAAGAGAATAACCGACGACCAAAAAAGAAAAAAAAAAAAAAACAAAAAAAAAAAGAAAAAAACAAAAAGGAAAAAAAGAAAGGAAGGAAGGAAATTTTTCCAATCCCACTTGGCATCCGTGCGAACCGGATTCTTTCCGTTTCGACGGTCTGTAACTCAAAGAATTAACGCGAGTTACTTACTCTAATACTAGTTACCTCAGCTGTGAAAGTGCGTGCGTAAAGGAAGCGATGATAAATTACGAATAACGCTGGCCTCTTAATATAACGATCATGTATTTATAACGTGTGGAATGGACCGTAACTCGAGAGCAGGTTGAACGAAGAAAGAATAAGACGACGACGACGACAACGACGACGACGACGACGACGACGTGCAAGAGAGAAAGAGAAACAGACAGAAAGAGAGAGAAAGAGAGAGAAAGAAAAAGAGAGACAGACAAACAGATAGAGAGAGAGAGAGAGAGAAAGTAAAGCCGCGTGGTTGATCTAGTCGGCGAGATAATTCGACTTCTTATCAAGTCGGCTTTAAGTAGTTTCGTTCATTAAGGTGGACGCAAGAAGAGGCCGACTGACTCGCGCATAACAGTCTACGTAATAAAACGCGTTTGTACGAGCTTCTTTCCCTCTCTCTCCTCCTCCTCCCTCTTCCTCAACCACCCTTCTACCTTCTACCTACTACTCCTTCCAACCCCTTTTTCTCTTCGCGCTCGCTTCGTACACACCGAGCTAACTACTTATCAATTACAATAATGGGACTATTAAATAATAATGGCGGACACGTTAGGTGCAAGGGCAAACCTTTATGACTATAACTTTTATAACGAGCTAGGTGTTAGGCGGGTACTTCTCATTTATAGGATATAGTGCAAACACCATATCGGTATTCCTACAAGAAAATATTTTATTCTCTCTCTCTCCCTCTCTCTCTCTCTCTATATATATATATATATATGTGTGTGTGTTATTGTATCTATATATTTACCCTTTTTTTCGTCTCCTCCTCCTTCCATTATCATATATTTTACACCGATAAATCTGACGTCTTTCACGTGCGCTTGGTGATTTAATTATCGTTGGAATTCGATGACGAGAGTAGATTCTCTTTAAAATCGTTATTCTTCTGTCCATTAGAAAATGAAACGGCCATTTATTTCCGCGCTTAACTTTATGGTTCACAGAAGTTGAATATACTGTCTCCTTCGTTCTCTCACTGTTGCAATGTCTCCGAGGAGTCGCGGATTTTATTTGACGAATTATCGAAGTCTCGTATTCCCTTTGGCCGCCATTCTAACTTCTATTTCCTATCTGGCAAGAAAGATCAAATGTTATTTCGTTATATGCGATCGATCGGACCGCATGAGAATGACGACGACGACGAAATCGTTCGAATTAGATTAGAAAGGTTCAGATTAGAAAAGTTTCGTAACTGTCTCGACGAGTTTAAGCCTGATACTCGAATAGGGAATAGAGGAAGAGGAGAGGAAAAAAAAAAACAAAAACAAAAAGAGCAAAGGAAACATACGCGTTCACGAGAATAGGAAAGTTTCAATGACTTTCGTTTCAAAGAAATAAGAGGAAAGAAAAACAATAACAAAAAATCTTACTTTTCGAGCACGAATCGAATTGTGTCGAATCGATCCCTCAATGGAACTCCAGATACGACTTTTTCGGTCATTGTAAGTCAAGCATTGCCACGTCCTGTTGTTATTGTCCTCTGGTTATTGGAAAGAATGTAAAAAAGTTCGAGGAACGTCGCTGTAAAAAGGAGCGAGTTAATCGAATAAATGATACGCTCATAACGGTTGTCCGGGAGTGTGTGCGGGAGGTAGGGGGGAGTTAGGAGAAGACGATAGCGTACAATTCGAGCGCGTCGAATCGTAATGTCAAATTCTACATGGGTATCATCGTTAAATCTTTCTCACCCCGTTCGCACCTGCTTTCTTTCGAACTTGAAAACTTTTTTTCTACGTATTGTAAAAATAAAAAAGAAAAAATGACAAAAAGAGAGAGAGAGAGAGAGAGAGAGCGAAAAAAATAGCAAAACAAAACGAAAAAAAGTACGCATTTTTTCGTAACGAAATAAGACGAAATAACGCCGCCAAAATGTCTTTTATCATTCCTCTTCTACCTTAAATACTTATTTTTCGTTCATTTTTATTTTGAAACACATCGAGGCGAAAGGCTTAAAGTAAAGCAAGATCAAGAAGGATTCGAGAGAACCGTGCTTTGTCGTTTAATACTTTTTATCTTCTAATCTCTCCTCGATCAAAAGGAATGTCAGAGATATCTCAAATCAGGTGGATGCCTTTAGCTTACCAATGCATAATGCATACCTTGCTCTCCCGTATAGTCCATTTAAAAAACTTTCCAAAGTACTGACTTGCTCTGCCTTTAAACTCAACACTAAAACTCAGCCTCGATTCCGGTAAAAACGAGCTAATAAAAACAATGACCTTCGTGAAAAGAAAAGAAAAGAAAAGAAAAGAAAATAATGAGAAAGAAAAGGCAAGAAAAAAAGAAAATAAATTAATGGATAAAGCGAATTACATAAATATTTTTATATACCTGCATAGGAACTCTATATACGTAAAATTGTTTAGAATTAAACGACGATGTACTTGTAAAATTTTTACTATCGATATGCTTTAACTCTTTCGTTGTTACCTAGACGTAATTCTTCTCTTTTATTTCCGCATAAGACTCATTAAGCCTTCCGCCTCGGCGTCCCGCCGATTTACTTGTGTTTCTCGACGTCTAATAAGGATCATATATCGCGTAGGCGACCTCCTACGTGCCTCCTCTCTTTCTCTCTCTCTCTCTCTCTCTCTCTCTCTCTCTCTCGTTCTCTCTCTTTCTCTCTCTCTCTCTCTCTCTCTCTCTCTCGTTCTCTCTCTTTCTCTCTCTCTCTCCTCCTCTCTCGTTCTCTCTCTTTCTCATCCGCAAATAGACGAGACGTTCGAATAATACGCGCGTCGTGTCAAAACGTGGTGCTTATTGTTACCAGCTCTACGTGACAGCAAACATACTAAACTACTATGTATAATAATAATTTTCCTATCATTACATATATATATATATATATATATATATATATATATATATACTTTTTATATACATATGTATATCTATATAAATAGAAAAATAGTTTATATTCCTATTATCCAATCATCCACAAAATTTCAATGAGATATTCATACATCAATTATTTCCTCTAACAAATTTGAAATATAACTATCATTCTTTATCGAGCAATCGATAACGACTGACAGTACCAATTGAGTTCACGTTACAAAATCGTCTTGTGAACTATTTCGCTTTCTCTCTCTCTCTCTCTCTCTCTCTCTCTCTTTTAAATGGACCACCTACGCGAAAGCATGCTCGAGTGTATCGTTAAGGTTGGCAGCTTTTTCTCCGTTTTAGGCGAGGATCTAGATAATTCATGATTAATTAGATATTATAAGCATTATTGATGGGAAACAGCAGGATCGAGACGAAATTCTAAAAGAGATGGGGAAAGAGGAGGGACGGGGGGAGAAGAGAGAAAGAAAGAGAGAGAGAGTGAGAGAGAAAAAAAGAATGAAAGAACGAATGAACGAATGGACGTACGAAGGAAGAAAGAAACGAGCAAGTGAACGAACGAACGAACGAACGAATGAACGAACGAACGAACGAACGAACGAACGAACGAACAAACGGACGAACGGACGGACGGACGAGCGTCACGGAGATCGGATCAGAGAACGGTAGGTGGTCCATCGAGCCTCTCCAGCATCCACTTCTCTCCATGGAGGAGAGGAGCTCTGGCATCTCCTTCGGCTCCCGAGATCTCTCTTTCTTTCCTTCGTGGTTCTGTGTCCGTACCGACTAGCTTCGTCGACTGACTTCCCTTCCTCTCTTCTTCTCCTCCTCCTCTTCTTCTTCTTCTTCTTCTTCCTCTTCTTCTTCTTCTACTTCTTCTTCTTCTTCTTCTTCTTCTCTTCCTTGCTTCACAACCTCCTTGCTCTCCCATCCTCTGACATCTCTCGAGACGCGCAAGAGCTACACGCGGAATCTCTTCTCTACCTTCCTTTCCCCCCTTTCTCTCTCTCTCTCTCTCTCTCTCTCCCCTCTCTCTTTCTCTCTTTCCTTCGTATCCCAACCAGAAAACTTTCAAAGTAATCGACGTATGTACACGAGAATAAGAAAAAGAAAAAAAAAAGAAGAAGAAACCGTATCACGATCTTATTGTCATATCACGATAGAAATCTTATCAATACAATTACGAAGAGAATTGATCTAAATATTCTTACATTAGATACATTTATATGATTTATTCTATTTAAAGGATAAATTTATTTAATAAGAAATGCGAAAATCGTTTTAACCTGATGACTTTGAAATAAACGCCTATATATACGTACGTGATGGGAAATAAAAAAGAAATGAAGGACAAAAAAGACAGGAAAGGAAAAGAAAAGAAAAGAAAAATACGGGGCACAGAAAGGTTAAGAACCACTGCGGTATACTACATACACCATCTGCAGAAACGATCCAGAGGCAGCGAGAAGGAGACGACGATCGTTCGCGAGCGACGATCGCATCTCGAAGCAAGATCTCTTTCTTTTCCTCTCTTCTTTACCAAGCTCCTTGGTCCTTCTCCATCACCTTCTCCATCGACCACTACCATCAACTCTACTCGCAGTCTCTTACTATCGAGGATCGTACAACGCGTTTCCCTCGCGACTTTTTTCAACGTCGATACGTATGTATGTTCGCGTGGACCTTTTCTCAGTTTGCACAGCTTCTTCTCCCACCCATTCTCCTCGTCCCTTCTCTGCCGATCGAGTTTGACCCTGCGGGTCGTTACCTCCTCGATCGGGCAGCACGGTGGGCCCTTGACGAGACGAGGCCGCCCCTGACTGTCCTGACGCACAATATACGTCATCCTCCAATGTCTCTCTTATCCTTACAGACATTTATCAAAATTAATCAATAAACTCTTTTACAATTACCGATACTTTCCATTTTTAATCTTTTTCATTTTAACGAGTTCGATTTTGTTTTATCAAGTTTGTTAACTGAAAATTATAACAAAATTATTAGAGAAATATTATGGTACGAATGATTTGACCGATCGTATGATCGTTCTGAAATTGTTCTTACGTTGTTCTTGCTTTGTTGTTGTCGTTGTTGTTTTCTCTTTTTTTTTTCTAAATACATCCTCGATTGAGAAAAACGAGCTCTCGTCGTATAAAGAACACTTTTACTCTTGTCGTTATTGTTGTTGTTATTCTCAATAAGAAGAAGAGATTTCAATAGCGAATAGAAACGGCAATAAGTCCGGATGTGGTTGTGGCCATTGATCGACAGCTCCCTAGAAAATGAGTTATATATCAAATAAAAGAAACGATGGAGGATCGATCAAATTATATTATTTTCAAAATGCATATTTTCTTGTTGATGGTTTTTAACAAATAATACACCGTGTTATGCAGTGAGAAACGATATTGGCATTTGATGAGAATATAACTTTGTCGTTTTATTTCACTTGACTTTTATTAAACTTGAAAAGAATAATCTATCCATAAATATGTGCTTCTCACTGTTACTCGCGCGAAAGATATATGGATATATATATATATATATCGGAATCTTCGGCTCGTGACAACGAGATGTCGATCGAACAGGTCCTTTTCTCCAGTCGCGATTCAAAACGAAAAAAAAAAAAAAAAAAGAAAAAAAAACTAGCCGTAGCCAGTGCGTTAATCTCATGAATAAATGTATCAGTATGAAATCGTCGATGACCTCGTATAGCGATCCGAACGTCGCATTGGGATTTGATTGGGGAAAGTCAAGCTTTTCCAGGTCTCGAAGAGGTTGGTAATGTAGTATTATCTTTAGAAAACCAGTCGAAGAGAATTTTCCCGACTCGAAGGAATCTGCAACGTCGTCATCTTCGTTCGCGATCATTGAAATAAGAAAAGGAGGATCGAGGATCGATAATATCCCGGCGGCCATATCCTCGACCCGCTTAATAGAGACTCGCGAACAAGCTCGATAACAATCGTCCCTAAGAACCGTTGCGTCAGCGAACCATTAACACATCTCCGTCTCTATCTCTCTCTCTCTCTCCCTCTCTCTCATAAGCTTAGAAACTATCTCTACCTTTATATCTATCTTTGTCACTTCGGTCTTTCTCTAGTTTTATTCTATTCTACTCGCGAAGAGATTCTCGAATGGAACGTTCGTTAACGATCCAAACCGAACGACTCGATTCGAAACGGATGAAATCGTCGTAACACGAACTGGTCGCGCACGCACGCCGTGTAAATTATCTTACAAAGCGTCAGTAACAACGACAAAAGCACCGGCCTGTAATTTCGGTAGCAAGGGGACCCCATCGTAGAGTCGGAAGCACTCCCAGCTTACACGATTATTTATTCTATTCGTTCTCTTCTTCGTCTTCTTCTTCTTCTTCTGTATCCTTTTCTTCTTTTTCTTCACCCTCACAAAAGGATCCTCCCACTCGATTAGTACGTCAGTTTTTCCTTTTCTTCTATATCCTCGCGGTATATGATCATTTTTTTGCCCTTTACCTTTGATAAAAATGAATACTGGAATTTCAATAAATCATAATTGCCAATACTGCGGAAAAATAACGCACATAGCAATAAATGATAATACGATTAACATAGTACAACTGAAAGCTTCATCTCTCGTTCGAACGTTTACAGGATTGTTAAAGATTGATCATGAATTTTTTTCGTTTGTCTAACCTTCAGCCAAAAACGCATTTTCGATAAGTAACTGATCGTATCGTTTCGTTGATTAATGAAATTAATTTAAACTAAATTAAAACAGATTCACGTTAACTATGTCCGATCGTATAAATGCTACGTAATAATAGAACGTTAAAAATTTTTGTTCGACAATTTCGAAGATTATCTTCGAGTATGACTTATCCTACGATCATCCTTCCAGGCTCTCTCAATACTGTTCTCTTATTTCAATACGTCCATTGAATAAATATCTAAAAGGTTACCTTAATACGCGAGAAAGGTATATGTAAATAAATAAAGACGTACGTATATACGCGCACACATATACGTGATACGTTCGTAGGTAGAAATAACGAAAGCGTTCAACTTTTGACAAGACATACAACTCGTTATATCCGACGTTGTGCAAACTCTCGGTCTTAATTAATGACCGTAAGTTTGAAAAGATTTTTAATCTTAAGGGAACCAAGAAGGCGGAGACTGTAAGGCCGTCGGACCTTTTTCAAAAGCTAGTTAAACCCGTGTCGGATAAGTCGTTGGTGTCGCGACGTTTGTGGCGTAAGGCTTTGGTGATGATCGTGGTGGTGGTGGTGGTGGTAGTAGTCGAGAGACTCGTTAAGATTTTCGTGACTATGATACATTTCCAGATTCCACGTTATCTTGCGTCGAGCGATGTCCTCGCTGCCATCAAGAGCCTTGATTTACATCGTTATTATTATTAATTACAGCGCAGCCTCGTAAAGGATGAGCACTTAAAATTTTTCATCGTCGATGAATACGAACGTGTGCTTGTGAATACAACGTTTTATACGATACATACATACTTGGATATGTTTCTATGTGAATGTGCGCACGCGCGCACACAAACACACACACACACACACACAGACATTCTAAAGTACACGATCAACTGGTGTAAGAGTACGTACATACGACCGCGATGCGGTCGCTAAGGACAGTGGCGTAGCCGTGGATCTCTACTGGGAAGCCGTGACATCTGACTCCAAAAGATACAAAAGGGATGGGCGTCTGGGTAGCGAGAATGAAAAAGAGTAAAATAAAACGGCCGTAACGATCTGTTAGTCTACACGAATAAAGCGTATAAGGCTCTGAGAGATCGAGGGGCCGCTTACACAAAAGCGAAATACAAAATAACTGTTAAACGTTGATAAATTTTCGAAATGGTTCCCTTGCGATGATGGTAACGCGATGCTGGAAGCTCGATTATCCAAAGAAAACCTTGCTTATACTTGAAGAAACTTCAACAATGTATTACGCTAGATAAGTAGTAACATAAATCGTATTATCAAACGAGTCAAGGATCGAAAATTATTACATCCTCCTTTTCATTCCTTTGTAATAATTTTTAAGTTCTACTTGCATATTACTCGCAACAATACGATATATTTATGTACAACGATCTTTTTTTATTACATTCCCCGAGATAATCAACATTATAATATAAAATTTCATTTACACGAACGATATTTTCCCATCCGATCGTTATAAAAAAATTAACAAGTTTTCTATGGGAAAGGAGACAAATCTCCAAGAGAATTCGCGATTACCACAGGGTCAACCACGAGCTTATCCCAAAAGAAAATAATCGATAATACTGTCGTTATAACAGAAGGCAGTATCATTTATAATGTATTTAAGAATCCAGATGTCGGTTGCTTCTTGAATCCTGTTAGCCAAGGATCTCTTCTGTGGATGCTGCGTAGCGATTACCCCTTCCATCTCTTTTTCCTTTTCTTTTTCTCTCTCTCTCTCTCTCTCTCTCTCTCTTTCTCTTCTTCCCTTCTTCTCGCTATCCATCAACCGATCGTACCTCAGTATCTCGACTACGCTACTGACGAAGAAACTCTCTCTCTTTCTTTCTCTCTCTCTCTCACTCTCTCTTTCTCTTCCTCTCTTACACCGTCTCTCCTCGTTTTCCACGTGGATAGGCATGAGCATGAATCATCTCGTAGGTGCCTGCGCGTTCACACTCGTCGAAGGACGTAAAGGTGGCCAGGAGGTCGATGATGTTGCCGCTCGAAGTATCGTCAAGCTGGAGACAAGTTCTCTTTGAGTTCTCTCATTAAACGAGCGTGCGTTTCTTTTGTCGTCGTGATCGTGGATATAAAGTTGCCACTTCGAAATCTAAGAGGAAAGGAGAAGGAAAGAAAAAAAGAAAAAAAAAAGAAAATAAACAGAAAACGTAAAGGAGAAAACGAAGGAGAAAGAAAAGGAAATAGAAAAGAGAGAGAGAGAGAGAGAGAGAGAGAGGGGGAAAAATCGATCACTACCATTACCATCGAACCTATCATACGATATCGAAAAAGATCGAGAAAATGCTAGGTTAGGCGGAGAGTGGGGCGACGGGAAAAAAAGAATTTGTCACGGAATTCAAATCGTAATAATAAATTCTTTTTTCTATTCTTTGCCCATTGATATTTCTATCTTTCTCTTTCCATATCGTATTTTGAAAGACGAACGAATCGATCGTTATTCGCCGGGATTGGTGCTCGGTATCGTTATTGGCAGACCGTTGATTGTGAGAGGAGACTGCGAGAAGAGAAAATAGAAGCGAGTGAGAACAAAGAGCGTGGAGAGGAAGAAAAGATGAGGGTAAAGAGAAAGAGAGAGAGAGAGAGAGAGAGAGAGAAAAAGAGAGAGAGGAAACGGAGGAGGGTCACGCCTGTCGGCACGAGCTCCTTCGAAGCGCGGATACTTCACGCAGGACTCGTAATTACCCATCGATCGATACGCTCTACTCACGATCTCCTTCGAAACTTCTTCGTCTTCTTCATCTCGAAGAAGTTTTTTCTCCAATTTTCTATCCCTTCTCTTTTCTCCCTTTCATTCTCTCTCTCTCTCTCTCTCTCTCTCTCTCTCTCTCTCTCTCTTTCTTTCTCTCTTTCTCTCTCTCTCTTTCTCTCTTTCTCTTCCTTTCTCAAGATCAAGCATCTCTCTTACCTTCGTCGATGCCAACGTGACTTCACGGACGTGTCCATGCTCGCGAGTTTATATACCTTGTGTGTCTCGACGAAGCTTCGCGTTCGTTTGTGGTAATTACAGCGAGTGCGTTGAACCTGCAGACAAGAGGTTCGATGTGTGGTCCAACGGAGATCCTGCGCCGGCAGGTTCCTCTCTTATAATTCGTGGCGGACCCTGATCGGTGAGATAAGCTCGCTGTCTCAAAACGAATTTTTGACTATCGAGCCTTTCGTTCTTTTTAACCAATGCGTTCTTCCCCTCCTAATCGCATCATGGTAGAGTTTAAAAGCGTCAAACGATGATCAAATATTTCTTTATCCTTTTGTTCATCGAATATTTCTTCCATAATCTTTCTTAAAATTAAAACAAAAATATTCGTATATTTAATAACATTATTAACGATATCTACGATAAGAATAAGAAAGAGAAAAAAATGTTTTAATCCGATTTAATCCATCGATACATATATATATATATATACATATCATTGATTTTCAAAGATCGATACGATCGATACGATCGATCTTTGAAAATCTTGAAACGTAAAAGAGAACCACTGCTACGACGATATTACACACACTCTGGACTAACGTCCATGGATCGTTAATGAGGCGACGATTAGATCGAGACGATATCAAAGGATCCAAAAGGATTCGCGAGGCATCGCGGTGACGAATCGTGAGACACGAACCGACCGAGCTCTCTTGGATTTCTTTCCATTCGATATAGGAGATATCGTCGTTCATCTGAGATTTTCTGACGTGACTCAAATCCTTAAGGCATTAAACTTTCCAAGAAAAGAAAGATGAAGAGGGAGCAGCGTGCCAATGAAAAAATAATTCTCTGCAATAATGTTGTTAATTTTTCGCCTATATGCACATCTCAGAAATATATATACATATGGATGCGTTTCTACACACGTACATATGAGCAACGTACAAATATATACATATATACATATATACATACATACATACATACATACATATATACATAGATAGATAGATGCTACCGTAGACTGAAAGGAATCCATGAAAGACGTGGCAGTGCTTTTCGTCGACGCCACGTCGATTCGATTTCGAGGGCAAGTCGATGCTTGAGAGAGTCGAAGATCGCTCCTCGAACTAACGGAACTTCCTGCCGGTCGGTACTTGGTAAGCGTTCTCTCTCTATCTCTCTCTCTCTTTCTCTCTCTCTCAACGATCTCTCGTCAAGTAATTGGCGTCGTAAAGAACGGCGTGCGAAAAGCCTCGCAAAGCGCGCACTTATTTACAAAACACCGATCACCGACACGGAAAGTTGCTCATAAAATCGGCGTAACAAAGATCGTACACACTCTACTATGTAAGAGTGAGAGAGAGAGAGAGAGAGAGAGAGAGAGAGAGAGAGAGAGAGAGAAAGAGAAATGAATAGATGGATGGACGAATATATCTATAGATAGATAGATAAAGAGAGACGGAAAATATGAGGAGCTGATGGTGGAATCAATTTAAAAATTGTACAAATTATTGAAAAATTTTATCACGCGGGATTAATTATTATTAATTATAATTTCTCCTTTAATTTCTTCAGAGACTAATGACGAACGAAATGCGACGATTATTAACAGCAATTACTTGAACCCGGAGCCATCTAATGATTTGCCAAGTTATCTCGCAAATTTTATTCGACGATAAACCTTTTATCTTACCGATCGTCTTGTTCCTTGGATTCCCCGGGTACAACGTATGTATGAAGATATAAAACCGTGAGAAACCTCTACGAAATTTAATAAAATGTAACTTTTAACGAACTCTTTTTAACGAACGAAACGGACAAGTTCGTTTCGCTCTGACGGTTAAATAAAGACGTTTTCATATGATACAGAATAAACGAGAGTGAAGATCACGAAAGGCGGGAAGAACATTTCAAATCTTTAAGAGGCTTTAGTGAACCTTCTTATAAGCATATCTTCGTATGTACATACATACGTACGTAAGTACATACATATATATGTACGTACATGCATACATACATACGTATATATATTACGTACTATAATGTCGCGCAAGGATAATTAAAAGCACGAGTTATTCCCTCGTCGCAAATTTTGTCCTACTTGCATCTTGCCAGAATATACCTGCAAATTAAGGAGAGATAAAGAGAGATAGAAACAAAGAAAAAGGGAGAAAACGCTTCTGTAGCAGCGGATATCTTGCAATGTCTCTCGTCGCGCGTTCCAACTCCTATCTCTGTCTTCTCCGATCTCCGTTCCTACTTATTTCCTTCGTTCCTCACCGCCAAAACTCTTTATCTCTCTTTCCTTGGCATCGCTTGTAAGCCAAAATACACGAACAGCTCGATCGTATTAAAATAATCAATCCAATTTGAACGTTATCTCACATCTCTTATCACGCATACAAAAGGAAAACTCCTTTATTCGCGATATTTTTTTTGTATGTCCAACAAATACCAATTTCCGAGAATACAAATTTCCTTCGAAGACCTTTTCTTACTTATCTTATTTCATCGAGCAAATTGATTTTCCAAATTATCACATTTCTATATAAAAATGTAATTAAATTTTTTTCCAACAGCTGCATATATAACATCGTGTACGTTTAAACGAATATATTCATGAAAATCATTAAATTTTTTGTAACGCCCAATAGATGAAATATTTACAAAAATAGAATACAGTTTATAACGGGTTAAATGATCATAAGGAATATCCGTGAAAGAGATCGAAAGAAAGAGATCCGTAGGCAAGCGCATCAGTGGTCCCTATCTCAGTTGGCCTATACCTTGGTACAACCATCTCATACACATATATACCTACACCTATACCTACATCAACCTGTACCCTACCTGGCTGTCTACCCTCACTATATTCAGTCTGCCGACCGACGAACGTTGCGCCGTATCTGCGCTAGAATCGTAAAGGCACGAGTTTTACGAGCCGTTCCGTGAAATTAATACACGTGTCTCGCATTCTCTCGAATTCGGTGCCGATTATGCGTACAACCAAGGCACGACAACGAGTGGTCTGGGGGACCAAAAAAGAAGGAAAAAGAAAAAGAAAAAAGAACCTTTTTCTTACTCTTTTTCATCATCTCCATCTCTTTCTCTTCTTTTCCTTTTACCATCTCTGTTTCTTTTTCGAATGGTGAAGAAGGGATGGGTGTGTGTGTGTGTGTGTGTGTGTGTGTGTAGGGCGGGAGGAGGAGTCTAGGGGTAGGGGGACCCGGCCTTCCGTTTCTTCGACCTTTTATTCATTTTCCAGTTTCGGGTTTCTCTACCCTAAGACGTCGGAGGAGAGTCCGTCCAGTTCGTCGAAAGATAGGCTAATTAATCGAGCCGGGAAACGCAGGAACGTCCGCTCATTAACGGGGAGTGGAATAAAACGCGATAGTGTCGTGTAATGAGCCACGTCTACCCTTCGCATTGTTCAAGACCAATCGCGTCGCAGGAAAGGTTAAAGGGCGAACAGTGTCGTTGAACAGAGAATGCGAGAGGCTTCCTCCGTAATGAGGACGAACTGAGACCAGAAAAGAGTATTTTAAAAGCGAAACTGTATCAGTCTACACGATACAATACGTATTTTACAAATGGTCTGTCCTAACGATAAATTTTCAACCAAAATGAATGATAAAAATTTGAAAGAATAAATATTACATATTAAATGGATATTTAAAATATAATATCGATATAATGTGAAAATATAAAATATTAATTATCGTCCATCATAAATCTAAACATCTAATACTAATTCGTAACCCATTCCATGAGTTTCTCTTTTCCTATCGATGTACTATCGGTTCCTAACCAACATCGATCGTTTCTAACGAAGAAAGCGATTCTACACGAACCGAAAGGAAGATCAAAAGATAGAAAGAGAGACGTTGCTGTTCGTCCGAACTCTTTGTTAATCTTTCCGATCGATGATTTTGTAACGAGGGCGATCGTAGGCGTGACCCCGCCGATCGATATCCGTAATTGTCCGTTCGAGACAGAGAACGTTCCAATGGTTGTTGCAACTTTTCTACCAAGAAAGACAGAAAGAGAGAACTGGTCGCGAACGGACGAAGAAATTGATTTAGGTCTGTAATTTCTTTTTTTTTTCTTTTTTTTTTTTTTTTTTTGTTTTTTTTTGTGCTTTTTTTTTCTTTTTTAAGGGCTCGATACAACAGATTTCTCACGAGATAAGAATACTGTATAAAAAGCAAGATTTAAAATTACGTTATGAAAGAAAAAGACAGAGAGAGAGAGAGAGAGATAAGGACCTTGCAAATAATTGCAAAATATAGATCATAGATCAGAAATGTAGCCAACTTTTCTATTCACTATGTGTATGGTAATTATGACATAAAGGCAAATAAATAAAAAAGATAAATGAAAATTACTTAGAAAACGGTTAGTAAAATAACAAAGTATCGACGTCGATCATCTGAAATATGAGTAACCACGACAACGCGTGTAATTTTCGCAAAGATCTTCGAAGGTAAGTAACCGTAAAGGTAAAGGCGTTGGTTATGGCTACGGCGAACACACATGAACGACGACAATCACTGAGAATTTCGAAACGCGTACTAAGAATCGCATTCTCGTACAATGGTGCGACGTGTCCCAGAGGATGTTAAGTACCCACACAATTTCCACGAAGAAATTAACACGGTTGGTGTAACGAGACTGCATTTAAAACGTAATAGATGTGCTGATCCACGAATGAAGAACTAAAAATCTTAAAATTTTATATCTTTCCACGAATAAAATAGAAAATAATAAATATCAATTTTCTCACCTTTTCAAACGTTCAATACACTATATTCTTTCATACGAAAATAATTTCCTATTACTTTTTCCTGGAATTGATGAAAAAAAGGAAAAATAAAAAAAAAAATAAAAACAATAAAAAAGAAAGAAAAAAAGTTAATAATAATCGTACAATTAATAATCCACTTTTGCCTTACGTAAGTAAATAGACGAAATTCTCTTGGGCATTACGTCGATGATACACCATCTGTAGATATTGTCTAAAAATCGACAAAAAAAAAAAAAAGGAGAAGAAGAGAAAAGGAAAAAGAAAAAAGAATAAGAAGAAAATAGATCAATAAGAATATAATGACGCAAGAGAAAGAGAGAAGGCTGATTCGGACGAAATGCGTGCGAGTCTATTCGAGGTTACCGAGATCCTATCTGGCCTCCACCCGCTGGGTCACCATGATGTATCGATCTTGTACGTCCCTGGGTAGTCTCAACCCCAGGCTTGTTCGCCACACCATCCATCGCTACTCACGAGACCCGCAGCTTCGCTTGATTTCATACGTGAGTCGATGAAACATGAATACCTTTAACGCCACCTCGCTCTACTCGTAGGATCACGCGGCAAAGAGACCGATAATATACATACGTAGAGCTTCGTGCAGACTCGTAAAAAGAACAAATAAAAATTAAAAAAAAACAAAAAAACGATGAATGAAAAGAAAAAAAAAAGAAAAAAGACAGAGATAAAGAGAACGAGAGAGAGAGAGAGAGAGAAACACGCTTCTATCTAAATGGATTATATTCGCACTTAAGTACTCGCTTAGACGGTAGAACTGGTTCCGATATTGCGCCAAGTTGCCAAGCGTAGATTCCGATCGTGCGAAAGTCTTTTCAATACGGGCGAGAAGAACACGAGATGGTAGTACCAAGGTACGGACTGACAATAAGATTTATCCTTAGAACTGTTCCCTCGTATACTGTGCAAGTCGATTGGTACTATCGTAGAATAATAATATAGACTGGTATCGACATTGAATCAAGCTAAAAAGATATTTCATTGTTGTACCGATCGAATAACAACAGCTTACATATCATTACAAGGTGGTCCAGTATTCTCAAAGCACGTGAGTCGGCGTGACACGACGAATTTGTCACGCGTTAGGTCACGCTACGTGCTCGCTCACTCTTTATATATATATATATATATATATATATATCTCATACTCTTTTTACCTTTTTCTACCATGTCGCTTTATCTTCCTCTCTCTTTCTTATTTCTTACCTGCTCTCCTGTAGGTGCTACTTGCGCGCATCGCAACAACTCGGAGCAATAAATTTCTGAGACGAAAAGCAGGGAGTCACATAGCCGCCATCGTCGTCGTCGTCGTCGTCGTCGTCGTCGTCGTCGTCGTCATCGGTGTCATAATCGTTCTTTCTACGACATTACTGCTTGGCGCCTCTTCTTCTATCTCGTAACGAGCAACGAGTACGAATACGAAAAAGAATTCTATACGCCCGTAGCATTATGTATCCTTGTTACGGTCTTACGCGATTTGCATGCCACTTGATATTCTTTTCCATCTAAGAAGATTCTAGCTTGTATCTTGGGAATCGTTGAACAGATCAGTACGACGTCTTCCTCGAGTTAAAGAAACCATGTAGAAACTGACCACCTGGAAATTAACGATGATAAATTAGTTTCAGTCCTTCTTAATAATATATTATTTGATCTAAGAATGATGGCCCCTCACTCTCATTCCAATCGCGATATTCGTTTTCACGGAATGATCATCGCCGGATTAATTTCAAAGCATGTCCGACGAATTACCCTTCCCTATATAAATTCTCTCGGCGAACGTCAAAGCAATAGCTCAGAAAATCGTCACGCTTTGACTTACGACACGGTGTATATACGTCGAAGTAGGAAATCGTTTCTAGATCGTGTCGTGTTTCTTTCCTTTTTATTTTCTTTTTCTTTTTCTTTCTTTTTTCTTTTTATCTTTCTTTGATATAGCGTTAACGGAAGTCCAGCTCGTGCCGTGAGACCGGAATCGTCCACTTGGAATTTCAGTTGGTCGCATTGATGTTGTGAGGTCGCTCAAGAAAAAGGGAGGGAGAGAGAGAGAGAGAGAAAGAAAAAGAGAGAGAGAGAGAGAGAGAGAGATAGGAAAAGAGAGACGAAGGCGAGAACGTCCTGTTGGTTGTATGGCGAGAAATCGTAATGTCTTAGAAGAAAAGACTATGAGAGGTAGAGAAGAAAAGTGAAACGGAGAGAGAAAGATAGGAGGAACTAAGAGGCACAAGGCACGAGCAAGGGCATGCGCGAATCCGCGTCTAATCATGAATTTAACGCTTTTTATAGTGTCGTCAGGATTCTTTTGTCGATGGATCATTTTCCCACAGCTACTACTATGGGGGCCACCGTGAATGAAACCTGAACGCTGTCGATGCTTTTAACCCATCAACCGAGTTTTATATGTTCGAGATCGATTTTGATATATACATATATATCTATCTTTTTATATATACTTTTATACATACACGTACACACACGCACACACACACACACATATATATATATATATATATATATATATATACATATATACCTATTTATAATGTACAAAAATAAAAATTTTTTTTTTCGATTTAAATCAAGACGTATAACGTCTCTAACGAAGAAAAGCAAGTTCGTATGAAAGGCAACGCATCGAGTACGCCTTCTTCATCGATAGTGTACGACTCCTTGATTGCCACGCGTCGAAACGCTATCGTGAATCAATCATTCTTCTTTATTTTTTACGAGGCGTTTATTGTAACGCAAGGCGGCGCCCTATACTACCGGTAGTGAAAGAGATCTCTTCGATCGATTGATCGGTTATTAAATACGCATGGCCCATCGAACATCGTATATGTACCTTGTAATTATCACCATCATTCTTATTATACCGCTTGATACCCATTCGTTACTACCTTCGTATAACATGTAATTAGAAGAAATATTTGTTACCCGTATCGCTTCACAATGCGAGATCCAATCAATGAATCGATCATCTACAGTTAAAAACAAATCCAAATTTATTAATTTCAATGATCTTTAGCATCGTTCTTCTTTCGGTGAATAAAATTTTCTTCCTGAGATATGATGTGGCCTACGATTAATATTATTATATACAGCATTTAATATCAATTTGATTATAAGTCTAATAGCAAGCAATTATTAGAAAGTATATATGTATATATTTAATTCGTTAACGTAGAAAAAAAAAAGTTACTTGTGCCTGCATTAATGTTACAATATCTATTAATTTAAAAGAAGAAATTAGCAAGAAAGTGATTCGCGAGAAAGCTGTTTCTGAAGAGAACTTTTTATGATGACCGTGTGAATGTATGTTACAGATTCAATAAGTACTTCGATTACTGTCTCACGTTTCCTTCACGCTCCTTTCATTAACGGATTAAATATAGAGAAAATCAGACATTCTACGGGCACATCGATAATACTCATTTTATCCGTGAAGGTATCGTAATCGAATACGGTGTTAGTGGACCGTCGGTTGTGTAACACATAAAACGGGGCGCACAAAAGACGATGCTATCGGGGTTGGAGGAGGTTCCGCGTAATCTATCCAATTATCGTTCGATCAGAGCCGTATCCTTCAATGTCCAGGGCCCCTCGACTTTACCAAGAACAGTACCTTCGAACGAATGGATCGTGGTCGTTTTCGTGCACAAAAAAAAAAAAGAAAAAAAAAGAGAAAGCAAAAAGGAACATAATCTCTCCGGTCAATATCGGCGCTGTTCTATACAATAAAAGTTTATTTTCCTTTTTTTTCTCCCCCCTTGGTATCATCACTCGTCCGTGAAAGAGCAAACAACAAGTAAGATATTTAATTAGTTATTCGAATTAATTAATGATTTGAAAAAATACTCCCGGAAACTAAGCTCGTAGGAGATTTAACAAATTCTATAGTTTGAAGTACAAGTTTCCGGTATCTAGATTGCTTAAGCGTAACGAGAATCTCTAGATGTGAAAGTGAGAAAAAGAAGAAGAGTAGGAATAGTGGTAGTAAAGATGGAGCGAGCAAAGAAGAACCGGGTTAGGTGAAACACAAAAGTAAGAAGAAGAAGAAGAAGAAGAAGAAGAAGAAGAAGAAGAAGAAGAAGAAGAAGAAGAAGAAGAAGAAGTAGAAGAGAAGGGAGGTAAAAATGTTTGAAGAAAAAGAAGAAGAAGGGAGAAGAGAGGCAAAGGGAAACAGAAAAGAGGGAGTGGACCGCGGCGAGGTCGCGACCCGTAAGCCCGCAGGGCCCCAGTGAAAGGCCCAACGGCGATCCGCATCCGCGGGGGCCTACGACGTAGACCCGAAGTCGAGCCGAACGAGCGAGCGAGAGCGTAGCAAGTAAAACCGAGACGGACGGATGGAAGAAACGAACGAACGAACGAACGAACGAACGAACGAACGAACGGACGAGGGCCTCAGTGAGGAGGCATCGTGAGTCGTTTCTTAAGATCGCCTTCTTCTTGGCGGGCCCACTGCCATTATGGCGCACTTAAAGTGGCAATCGTGTGGAAGGCAGCACCGACGCGCAATATAGCCAAGAGTTGCGCAACCTAAGCTTGACCCCACCCTAAGGTCCAACCGTGGACGCTCTCTACGCCATGGCAAACGTAATCGTGACACGGCACTATACTTCGCTACTGACGGAATCCTCCTGCTCTTTCCATAAGACTTACATTATCAAAGAAAGACTCTGTTCCCAACTTAAAACAAGATCAATGAACAAAGATAAATGTATACATAACAAAGTTAAACCTATGTGTGTGTGTGTCCGTATATATATACAAATATATATATACAGAGGACGACTTTTTTTAAATTAAGATACCTAAATATCTTGAAAATAATTCAGTCTAATCGTTTCATACATTTTTAAATATGTAATTAGCAAATATAATCAATAAAAGGCACGATGACTTTCGTTATTGTGAAACTGAAAAGGACATTTTTTTAGTTAGAATTACTTAGAAATTTATAAAAAGATTTTTTTTTTTTTTTTTTTTTTTTTTTTTTTTTGTAAATTAGAACAACATGACTGATATATTATAGGAAGTACGAAGATCATATGCAAATATAATCATAATGCACGCGTGACCGTAACGCACCCATTTTCATAATTTAAATACATCTAATTATTTACGTAAGTCGATAAGCTAATGAGTATAGCGAGAAGCAAACGAGAAACTTGTTGATTATTATTATTTATAGTGCATAAATACGAGTTATATAACGGTAGGCACATCTGATCTCTATAAAGGTATATATTATAGATATATACGCGAGACGATTAAAAGTGAATTAACAACCGACTACCGAAGGATCGAGTATGTGAAGAAATTTAAATATCATTTTCATATCTTTCACGAATGATTTGAAAACTCAAATGCGATAGGGATCGGTCGTTTAACATTAAATTATTACAATATAGATATATAATACGTACATACATAGATAAAACGTACTATAGTATATTTGCGATATCAGTTAACAGACATTTTAAACATCGAGTATCGAAGAGTAAGTAAGCGTCCGAGAACTTTCAACCGAAAGTAACTTAGGACACGTTCGAGCGTGTTCCAACATTATAGTTTCTCTAATGGAGAGAAGATTTCTGCGTTGTCCGAGAGGTAGGTATTCGCGAGGTTCGAAGCGCGTTGCTTCTCGAAGATAGTCCGTCGTATCCCTTACGACTGCTTTCAGTCTTCTCTAAAGTGTTTTAGAACTCTGTAGAAGTGGGTGCTCTCAGCCGTTTTCTCTCAAGCAAACTACCTTGTTCTTCTTCTTCTTCTTCTTCTTCTTCCTCCTCTTCCTCCTCCTCCTCCTCCTCTTCTTTTTTTTTCTCCTTTCTTATTCTGTTACCACGATAAAAGCAAGAAAGAAGTCGATGCGCGTGCGCGCGCGAGCGCACGAGTCGCATCTAACCCGGTTCTCGAAGATTCATCCAGGTTGTCTCGCACCGTGTGGCTCTTATGGTTTCTGCTAACGACCTTTCCCCCGATAGCTTACGCGATTTAATAGTCGAGTACGCGAGGGAGCGCTCGAACGCGTACCACCGTATCTTCGTGTTAAACCTATGTGAATATAAAAGCGTGTGTGTATATATATATATACACATATATATATATATATATATATATATATATATATTATGTATGTATGTACGTATATAAGAGATATAATACACAAGTCTCAGCGATTCTAGAATCCTACACGAGAGAGAAAGAAATAGAGAGAGAGAGAGAGAGAGAGAGAGAGAGAGAGAGAGAGAGAGAGAGAGAGAGAGAAAGAGAAAGAGAGAGCAAGCGCCCACAAAGATCGGACGATCGGGCAAGGGGAAAGTTATGTGCGATCCTCGAGCCTTCGCGCAAAACGCGTCTTCTCTCGATATCTCTCTCTTTTTCTCTCTCTCTCTCTCTCTCTCTCTCTCTCTCTTTCTCCACCATGGAGCCGGTTTCTGCATTCTAAATATACTTGTTGCCCGTTTAAATCTTTCCCGGTGATTTCGTACAGTGGTCTCTCCTCAGTTTCTTTCTTTCTCTCTCTCTCTCTCTCTCTCTCTTTCTTCCTCTTCTACTAAATTCGTCATTTTATTTAAATTTTTATTCATTAAATGTTTTTCTCTATTCACTCTGTTTAAACTTGTTGCGTATAAGTTTTCTTTTTTTTTCTCTCTCTCTCTCTTATCACCATTACGCATCAAGCTCAGGTAGCAGAATAATTTCATTCTCTTTTTATTTCTTCCTGTATTCTAACTCTGAAACTTCCCAGATCACTTTCCAAGTGCATCAGGATAACTATGACTAGTCCATGATCTTTAAAATCCTTTGTTATGTGTAATCCTATCTTGGATTAGCTGCCAAAGAGCATAGTCATCATACCAATATCGCATTAATGCGAGAAAAATTATGCGTACGATCATTCCTCGAAAGCTCATATATCCCGCATTACCAGAGCTGATCTCTTCTTAATGACTCCTTTTCGATTTAGCGTCGGAAATCCTCGCAACTCGCTCAACACTTCTGTCGTCGCCGCTGTTAAATAACGATCGCTGTTCCCGACACTGATCCTTCTCATTCTTTCTCTTTCTCTCTCTCTCTTTCTCTCTTTCTCGATAGTTATTTTCGAAGTAAGCAAAAGTAAGCAGGCGTTACGCGAAACAAAATGAAAAACGTCGCTCTGCGAAGGAAGTTCTCCGAAGCAATTGAAATAAACGACGAAATTTACCAAGCGACTTCTTAAAACGTTCGAGGATTTAGCGAGTGTCTTTGCTTGCTAAAATATTCTCACGTCTACCTACGGCACTTTACTGCTTCTACAAAATGTACAGCGGCAATGATCTCGTGACGACGATTATCCTTCGTCTTCTTTAACGCGAGAATTAAATTAAAAAAAAAAAAAAGAAAATTTTTAACATTTTAAAAGGTTTCAATGAGATATTCTTACACGATAGAAAACATTGAACTAAAGATTTAATTTATGGCACGAAAAATTATCAATACTCATTGGTCTCTCCGGTTGAAAGAGGATAGAGACCTTGAAACGCACAGTCGTCGTTTATTTTACAAGTAATACCCTTTGACGATTCCAACGAAAGCGATTGTTACGTTCAGGTTAACCATCGTTAAAAACCATCGTAAAATAAATGTCAACTCTAACGCAATTACCTGGCCATGTTTAACTGCAAGCTGAGCTGTCGTCAAAGATGAACAACGACGAGTCATTAATTCTCTTAAGTTCTGACACATCGAAATAAGCACCTGAAACTATTATTCTCTTTTGTCGGTTCACACTTTTAAGAAATACGTAATATACAAAGAAGCGTACATTTGTTTATATATAATCAATAACACTTTCATATAGATATGTAAAAATATGATAAAACTGGCAACGTAATATGGTCATTGTTCTTTCTCAGATTATATCAAATGACAATGTGGAACCACAGAATTCCCTAACGGAACATATGCACCACGGTTAATTCTATTAAGGAAGACTCGATACGCGCATCAATCTTGCACTAATAACGTGCCGGGACAATTTACTTTGTCTCAGCCATCTGCCGTGTATTAAGCCCATATGTAGTTACGGTTTCTGTCTCGAGGCAAAGAGAAATCATACTCTCTACTCTTTGATAACCGTATATCCCAGGAAAATACTATCTCTCCACGCAATCACGATGCATCCGTGGTCCGATGCATGGCCTCTGCGGATCAAAGTACACCGCTTCGGGTACAATTAACCGTACCGGAGGTGAATACAAATACTATTTGCCAGAGCCATCTTCATCGCTTTGTAATTAGTACACCTACCTACACATCGTCGTAGTTTCTTTCTCTCTCTCTCTCTCTCTCTCTCTCTCTCTCTTCATGTTTAATAAGAAAGAAGCTTCGTTCGTGAATATGATGATAGATTTTGGTACCCACGCGATTTCTTCGACTTTTTAAAACTGTCCATCGTCATTTATTCTGCCGATATCCCTGACGTCATTCGTGAATATCTTACAACGCACTTTGGACCACTGTAACCAAATTAAAAATCTATTTATGTAATGTAATTATTATTACTTTTTACAGTATTATGTCTATAGTCAAATTCATATTTAGACTGAATTTATTAATCATGAATCATTTTTATCGTAACTCGTGACTCATTGAAAGGAACGACCTTTAAAATCAACAAAGCCATTTTAATAAATTCTATTACAAGAAAGCTTTCCTTTCTTCGTGACCTTTCTTCGCAATAACTAATGTCCGCTATAAGTATACATATTGATAACAGTAGTCAGCGTTAAATACAAAAATCTTAATACAAAAAAAAGAAAGGAAAGATTGCTTACCGTGTATGTTTACCAATCGTCTAGCTATAACGTCATTAAGAACAGGAACGTTAAAGAGATAGACATAAACTCATCGTCTAGCGAAACAATCAACCAAGCCACCTATGGCTTCCATCATGTTCTAGACATGCACGAGAACAAATTAGGATCCACCGGTTACTTGACAAATTTCGTCTAGCGCTGCGGGAGAGCACCTTCTAATATCCTTTACTCTCTCTCTCTCTCTCTCTCTCTCTCTCTCTCTCTTTCTATCCCTCTTATTCTTCGTCCTCCTTTCTCTCCCATCCTCCGCATATCCCTCTTTCGTTTCTACTGTCATAGAACTCAGTTGGCCGCGCGTAATCGCCGCCGGCCATCCTTAGGTATTCCTCGCACGAACACTCGAACCTTTCGATACGAGCCATGTTCTATTCTCGTAGGCTCTACTTTACCTGTGCTTCACTCGTGTATATGTATATACGTATGTGTGTGTGTATGTGTGTGTGTGTGTGTTCCTGTGCGCGCGCATCGGCAAGGAACGTTTGTACTGGAGCGTGCAATACATATCAGCTTGATAGGTGGTAGGACGAAGGAGGATGAGGCCTTCCTCGGTGAAGAAGAAGGTACCGCTATCGCCCTCTGACCTCTCGAGGCAAGCGAACGAGGCCTCCTTCCTTCATGGGCACCGGTAATTTTGCCTTCGGTCCTGGCTTCCTGGTGCTACCCAGATCTAGATCATCGAAAATCCCAAGACGAGTGCACCTTTCTTTCGTTTGCGTTACGGGGCTAATACCGATCCCCATCATCCTCTATACTTTTTTCTTCTCTCGTGGATTCCACTTCGAACACTTGCGAACGATGTTACTACATCGAACGAATCCCTAGAAAACGAAATCCTTATCTACATTATTGAACTTTGTTTAACCGTGGGAAAGAAGATCCATATGACGTAGAAGAAAACGATATATCTAGTTAACATTATTAATGTAATAATTATTTTAACAGAAGAATTCATTGAAATTATCCAAATTGTAATAAATAAATTTAAGTTAAATAATTTATTACTATTATCGAAATTGTAATAAATACGATTTGAAGTCTAATACACAATGGCGGATAACTGATCTAGTAAAATAATGTCATTGGACGTTTCTAGTCACATGCACGATCCATAAGACTTCTCCAACGTCTTAGAACTGGCATACATACTTATATATATATATATATACGAAAGGATATGGGCTTGACACGTTCAGGAATCTACGTACATGTACAGATTGGATTTAGGTCGTACATATGTACATACGTCGAGAAATGATCATTCACGTAAATAGAGAAGCACCGTCGTTTCTTCCACGTGTTCGTGCATCTATGTATATAGTATATAACTTCATACTAGATTCGGTGGATGCTTTCGATACTACTTCGAAGTCTTTAGATAAAGGTAACTGTTTTCGTTATATCGAAGTAACGGTCGTCTAGTCTAGCAAGGAGAATCGTTGACGAACATGCAAAAGCATTAACTATACGATAAGATGAAAAATTGCCATGACCTACTGTGAAACAGGTGAGAGAGAGATATCTCACCGAATTTCTCCTTTTTTTAATATCTTTTTCTACTGACAGTTATCATAACGTACGGTAAACTTGATGATGCCTTACGTAAAACCTAAGATAATAATAATAATAATAATAATAATAATAATAATAATAATAATAATAATAATAATAATAATAATAATAATAATAATAATATTGTGAGAATCGAAGATTAATAAAATTTCCGATAGTAATAAATCGTATTAAACAAACGAGACGTTTCGCAACAACAAAAAAGTTGTTCGATTAATCCTTATAGCTTTTTTGTTCGTACGAACAGTAGTATGTACGATCCTGAATGTTTTAGGATTAATCAATTACTCTCGCGAGTAACAACTTACAACATCAATACAAAAAAGAAATCTTCTTAGCTTCCGTTCTCACGATTAAAACACAGTGAGAGCCTTCATCGATCCTTAAAAAAAAGAAGATAAAAAGAGGAAGAGAAAAAAGAGAGAGAGAGAGAGAGAGAGAGAGAGAGAGAGAAAAATGAAACAAAAATAAAATTGTATAAGGACGAATGAGAGAAACAATCGTCGACGTTATAAATCATATCTATATATGTATATGTATGTATGTATATATATATATATATATATATATATGTATAGTAAGATCACTGATGATTCTTAATTATGTAAGTAAAATGTTTTCTCAGTAATAAGATGCAGATGTATGATAAACGAAACTTCAATTAAAACAGTTTCTTAAGAAATATTAATCACAATAATATCCTCGAAAGTGTTATCAAAGTAAAATAAAATAGTATAAATAAATACACATACATGAACACACACAATGTCTTAGGCAACGTTCTAACCTCTTAACATATTTTTCTTAACAACTCTTGTTTCGATCTAATATCCATCATTGGAATAAAGAAACTAGAGAGAAAGAAAAAAAAAATTAAGAAAGAAAAAGAAAAGAGAGAGAGAGAGAGAGAGAGAGAGAGAGAGAGAGAGAGAGAGAGAGTGAGAGCAAACGATTGTGGAAGAATACGTTTAATCGTTAATCGCCAATTACGCAGGACGTCCCGCTTCCAAAACTCTCAGAAGCATTTTAACGAGCCGTTGTGTCGCCCAGCAAGGAATTTAACTTCGTCTCATCCTTCGAGTAGCTTCCACCGATGGGCCCCACGACGAGAGCACCCACAACGGTGTTCGCGATACCCTTCCTCTCTCTTTCTCTCTCTCATTCTCTCTTTCTTTCATTCTCATGTGTTCCTCGTTTCTCTTACTTTAGTCCACCTTCTTTTCACCGTATCCGATATAAGGAACGTGTGTGCGTGCGCTGCACCCCGTACCAATTAGCGCATACTTCGGCTCTTGGTGTTCGGGACCCCAGCATGGTCCCGACAAAAGGTGCTCTCTCTCAGGACCCAACGACGACGACGACGACGACGACTAAGACTACGACGAGGCACGGTCCGTTTTCAAGGTGACTTTTCTTGGCATATTTAACCCTTCGAACGTTAAGTCACAGTGCCGGAGAGTGAGTTTTTTGGACCCGGATCTTCTTCCTCTCTCTCTCTCTCTCTCTCTCTCTCTCTCTCTCTCTTTTTTCTTTTTCTCCTTTTATCCCTTTCTCACATCGTAATCGTTATTTTCTTCCAGGTCGAACTAAATGAAAGTGAATTAATCTAAAATACGTATAATTACATAACATATTACAATTCAAAACGAAACTTTCGATCAATTCTATCCTCTAAATTATTGGATTATTATGACGATTCATTTGGATGAGTTATTTATAACCACGTTAAGTGAATGATTAAATACGTTTATCTTTTCGCGTAGGTACGACGTACGATTTACGTATTAATATTAATTCAATGTATTCTGATATCACGTAGGCCGATTATTAATTTATAATTAGTAGATACATTAGAATATCTCTTACTATGAATAAACGAGTTTTAATATATGAATGATCTTCACGCTTATTCTCTAAGACTCGATTAAAAATATATATATGAAGAGACACGAATAATAATTACATACAAGCTCCGTACATTCTCCTTCTCCTTCCTCATCGTTCCATACAACGAAATCGATTCAATATTCTTCTTACTTTGGAATATATAATACATATGTAAATAATATAAATGAATACTTACTTTCTTGCTTTTTGCTTTGCGACATTGACCTTGTTCACTCATTCAGAATATTTATTAATGCCGATTAATTGTATATTCATTACTCGACGACCGATCTATTTGCATACGCCAACGAACACTTTTTATATTAATAACGTATTTATACAATGTCGTTCGTTAACCAATAGGAAATAACTTCGTCTTTATTATACGCCCCCGTGATTGGTCAACGAAAGCCGGAAGTAATTATTAACTTATAACGTTTTTTATACGATATGTATTTATAAGATATCGATTGTCGGCCAATAAGAAATAACTTCGTCATTATTATACGCCTTTGTGATTGGTCAACGTATGTACGTCAGAAATAATCGTTGGCTCGATTGGTTCTATAATTTTTTTTTCTTCTTTCCGATTTATCCTGAAATAAAATTATAATATTAATTAACTTTTGCTATTATTAATATAATTAATTTAATTGAAAATCTATCTCATTTATATACAATTGAAATATTTGATATTAATTATATGTAACTTTCAATTAGACGAGTTTTCAATTGATATAAATGTTCATATTAATATAACGGTAAATTGATAAAGAATCAATCTTCGGACATAATGATTAATTTCTAAAAAAGAAAATATGACGAAATGAAACGCCTCTCTTACGGATCCCGGTAACGGTGTTTTGCATCGTGTTTCGCGCCATAGGTTTAAGTATAGAGTAAATGTAAAATCTACGTAATAATCTACGACGAAATTGCAGATACCAAAAAAGAAATTCGAGAAATACTATATGCATAATTTTTGTGTGTATATATATATATATATGCATAGATAAGAAAGTATGATAAATCGTTTCATTATTATTATTAACATAACTAATTTTTCCTACAGGTAACGTATCTACATCTGAACATAAATACACTGTGTATTTGCTTGCTCAATGCAATCATAATTCTTTTGTTAACGTCACAATCACCTAACCTTTCGAGATATAATCCTTTTTTTTTTTTTTTTAAATTTTCCGCGCTCTCATTTACACTTCAGACAAAATTATGCTGGGACTGATGTAAAAAAAGAGAAAGATTAAATTAAATTAAAAAAAAAAAAAAAGAAAAAAAAAAGAAAAAAAAGGAAAAGAAAAAAAAATAACAAAAAGACAAAAATTAAGTTATATTTTCAGGATGTCGTGTTTCGGTGGTCAAGACAAGCAGATTTATCTCGTGGAAGTGTTGATCGACAAATTACAATTGACACCGAACAAAGTGAAGGACATTGGTGATCGTGCTATCGCAATTAAAGTCAAGCTTCTCGATTTCCCTCTATTCGAGATCACAAGGGAAGATTTTGAATCATTAAAGAAATCACCTACTATCGTAGAAAAAAATGGGATCGTACGTTTCTCCATAGGTAGAAGTTGTTTATTCATTAGAAAACCGAAAGATCTCGTAGATGAGCTACGTAATGCTAGCGTTGGTATCGGTGTATTTTGCGTCGGTGATACTTATCCTTTGGCCGAGGCCATTGTTAAATTATCTGGTTGTTTATGCGATCAAATCGCAATGTCTACGAATGATACCGAAAATATGCCAAAGCCATTCTCCGTAAAAGGTGGTTTTCACTTATTGGATCCAGGAGAAAATCCATCGGGAATATTGGATATGGAATTGAAGATCACTTGTTTCGGACGATTCATAACTACGAAATACGAGCTTAGACCAAGCTTTTTCATTTTCAAGAAAAAGGACGACATGCGAGAATTTTGCGTCGAACGAAATATACCGCCTCACATACGTCATGATTTGCTCAAGGAAGACTATCCTCTGCCAGAATCAATACACGAAAATTTTATCGCCAGTTCAGACGTCAAGGAATCAACCACGCAGAAGAATAAAAAGAAAGCTAAAAAGAATAAGAAGGCTACGAAATAACGATGATTCGTTCATTAAGATTATAATCGATGATCCTGATTATTAATATGATCTTATTTATTTATTTTTTTTTTTATGCGTATAAATAACTTTGATATTACATATATGTGCATGTGTACATGCATACATACATACATACATATATAGGAAAAGATTGATATATTACAAATAATGACATATGTGAATTTACATTACATGAAATCTAAATCAAATAAATAACGAACAAGTCAAATTTATTTTTTTCAAAGTCGTTATTTAATTACGTTGATATGTATGTAATCCACAAAGTAACATAATATATCACCATGACAACAAAATATCTTCAATCGATTCCGATGACTGAAAGACATAATACATAGGTTTAAAAATTAGACGTCGGTCTTGTCGACCACAAAATTAATGGCGTATTTCGCAATAATAATAAACCTGAAATAATCCATCGGATTAGATATGCTTCCTAAATTCTTGTTCAATTAAAAACGAAAGTATATCTTTTACTACGTTTTAATCTCTAAATTATCCGATGAGCAAAAAATTATCTAAAAAAGGAAATAATCCATTTCAACGAGGTGGTGTTGCTTCGTCATCGCCACGGTTGCCAATAAACGATCCAGGTTTTAAATATTTAACGACAGCTGAGAAGTTGAACAATCGTGAGTATCGTAACTTGATTTATAAAGCTTATCCCAACGAGTCAACTTGCAATTGTCTACCGATAAACCAAACGCTGCATCCATTAATATGTCGTTCCGGTTGTCAGCGTTTGTGTTGCATGAAATTAAGAAATCCTCAAAAGTTCATTGTAATATGTAAAAACGAAAATTTACCGTCAGAAACGAGGAAACAAAATGAAGAAGGATAATGACCGATTAAAAAGCGGAAGTAGCGAAGACGATTATTACCATAATACCGATACACCGATCGACGTTGAGAATAATATCGAATTCACTTGGTACGGTGATAAAATCACGAAAGAAAATAATCGTTTGCAAGGTGGAGGACATGAATATGATCTACCAGGTTGCGTGTGTTCCGGTGCACCGAGTCTTTACAAAAAAAGCGAAGAAACGGGTTGTAAGGGCAGATTGAAAAGTTTAGAAAAGGCAAAGCCTGGCTGTACCTGCGCAGGACAGGATCCGCCTATTTGGAAAAAAGGCGGTCCAGATTGCAATAAGAAACCATGTACAGGTATTGATTGTCTCTTGCGCGCATTCAAGGAAGCCCAAGAATTCGTAGATTCCTTAGGGAAGGTACCTGGTTTCGAAGGTTTAGGCTTGATGGATCCTTCGGAAAGTCCCTTTTTTGGCAGAGATATCAGCAAAGATTACGAGACCGATGATACACAGGTAGAGAAGAGAGCGCAAGCATTACCATTGCCAAATCCTCATTGCACAGCTCCTTGCAATTCACGTATTGGAACACATAAATTTGATACAGGCATTAATAACGTTTCCGTGCCTCATTCAACTTCGGCTTATACCGCAGCAACGCCATTAACGATAGCCGTGCCAGGTCGTACAGGGGTCGTACGCGAAGCTGTACCTACGCTACCTGATAACGGTTCAACCGTTGTTTATGCAAAGCCAAAAAAGAAGGAAGAGAAGAGAGAGGAAAAGATCGACAAGTCGAAGGATATCGATGCCACGCCATCTGTACCTGTGGAAATTGATCTAGGTCCTTGCGGTGAGCCTAAATGTAAATCAAGACGTAAGAAGGTCATTGATACTGTAGAATCAATCGAAAATATAGAATTTTCTCATAAGAAATCAGTGACGCAAATAAAGCCTTTAAGTACTGGTGTGGCAACACCTTTAACCAGTAGTAAAGCTAGTGAAAAGGGTAAACATAAGCTTAAGATCAACTCTATAAGTCCCTCTGGAGATCGTACTATTAAAACACCTATAAAGGTCAGTAAACGTGTGATGCGTTATGTATATTCCATCGGCGATGTTTATCCTGGTATTCATTATGGTCACAAAAATTGTATCGATGTCCGTATGAGAGTACCAGCCAATATGGGTTGGTTATGGAATACTAGTAGCACGCTTTATAACTTGAAACCACGAATCGGCTGGAAGCCTGGTGCTATAGGAAGGTATTTGAGCGAATTGCTTAAAGAGGCAAAAGCTGGATCAAAGGGTAAACCAAGGGCTGTACCTTTCCGTACTAGAAAAGGTAAAACTTATAGGAGTATGAGCTTTACCTCGGTGAAAAAGTTACAAGCAAAGAAAGAAAACGAAGAGGAAACAGAACTACCACCAACTTTACACATTCATAGAAAAGATGGAACGTACTATGTTACAATGTATCCGATCAAGCAAGACACTATGGATATGCCAAAGCTAGAACAACCTATGAAACCGTTGCAATTTAAAATTGTAAAGAACAAAGACGACGAATCTGTGGCATCTAGCTCGACCGCGTCAGATATGGAAATTGAATTTTCACCTCCTGCAGCGGTTAGTAGGTATCGAAAAAAGCCCGACGTCATTCATATCGATACCCAAGTTAAGCAGCAAGATATACTCGATGCATTAAAAATCTCAGACATCTTGAAAAAAGATAAAAAATTCAATAAAACGAGAAAGCCGAGAAAATGACACGATCGAAGAACTTTATTGTCCATTATGCAAAAATAATTTTTTTTTTTTCAAATTTAAAATTATTTCAAATTCACTTGACATTGTCATTACGAATGAATGGAATCGATGTTGTGCAAGATGAAGTAGGAATATCTTTTTGGAATTTTGAAATTCGCGCGCTTTCTACACTTTGTTCTTCGCATTATCGACGTGCGTCGTTTACCGCAACAACGTGAATCGATAGTATAAGATCCTTGTGACAGTTGAAGATCTTTAATTTCGAGAGAAAATATGGATGCCATTAAACAAAATACAAGAAATAAAATTGTACGGGAAAAAATACTTGACATAAAAAAAATTCAAATAGGAAAATATCCGATAGATTCGCCGTGGGTCAAGCCAGTAAGAATTTGTTATATGCAAGATGGACATGAAAAAGTTTGGGATGTTGTAAAGTCACATGACAGCGTGGGAATCGTTGTTTTTAATACAACTCGAAAGAAACTCATCTTAGTTAGACAATTCCGACCAGCGGCATATTATGCTTGCTTACCAGATAATGTCAAGGAAATCAATATTAAGCAATATCCACCGTCATTGGGTCTGACCTTGGAATTGTGTGCGGGTATCGTAGACAAGGACAAACCTCTCGTCGAGATAGCAAGAGACGAACTGAGGGAAGAGTGCGGATACGAAGCACCTGCGTCAGCTTTCAAAAAGATCGTCACCTACAGGTGGAAATACAATATAGTGAACTATAATGTGAATATATAAAACAAAAAAAGACAAAGATTCATTCACGTTATCAAAGTTGTCAAAAGTATTTGATAAAAAAAATCCAACAATAATATTGAAAGTATAGAAATAGCAATTATACAACCTACTGCATTATTCTTGATATTATTTAAAAATATATTAAGTATTCTCGTATTGTACATGTATAAAGTCCCACTTTTGCACCGTCCATATGTTATATTTATTGTTCTTAATAAATATATATTTATATATCTACAGTCAAAGATTGTTAAGCTTCGATTTTATTTACATCTTTCGATTCTTGCAGAGGTGTAGGATCTGGAGCTACCAAACAAACACTTTTTTATGTAGAGGTGACAGATGAAATGCATATATATCCTGGTAAGCTTAATATAAATGTTATACATTTAATTGAGCATATAGCAAGCAAGAACATAGATTGTATCTTGTAAAATTCGTGATATTGAAGGAGGTGGTGCAGAATCTGAGGGTGAACTTATTGAACTGGTGGAAATGAATGTTGAAGAGGCAAAGGAGTACATTAATTCTGGAGAAGTACAAAGTCCTTCCAGTTTTCTCTTTGGTATATCCTGGTTTCTAAGCAATAAACATGGGCATTAATCTTTACTTCAGAAATGGTAATGAAATAAATTCAATTAATATTTATACGAGATATAAAATTGTTAAGAAATTATAATAGATAGAAGAAAAATTATAGAACAATTTTATTTACAAATAGAGCGAATGTACACAAGCGAATAAGAAATGGTTGCATAGACAAAATACAATGAAATTACGTAAATTAATGTTAAATCAGTGCTCATTTTCGTCTTTTGTAAATTGTGAACTGACCCAAGCAAGGCCCCATTTTAAATTTGTTAACAAAAACTTTAAGGCCTTGGTCCATTGTTCCTCAGAATTAAATTGAATTCTGAAACGATATAAAAAGTTGATGTTATTAAAATGCAATATAAAATATAAATAGATAGACTCAACAAGTCTACATTGATAAAGTTCTATGAACGAAGTTCTATTGTTACACAATGACTTGTGATACAAAAATATTTAAATAATATTAATATAATTTACTAACTATATCAAAATAAAAAGTTATATTACTTGATAGAGTATGAATTTCCTGTGGCAGAATCTTCTATTTTACCACGATCCATTCTGTATGGTAAACAAAATCCACTATCTCCTTTTTCTACCTGTTCTTTAAATTGCTGTAAGCAATCAAGAAATGCTACCATAGCAGCATCAAATTTCGTATCCCATAAAAATTTAAAACCACCACTTCCATACAAAGGTAATTCTCTATGTTGATCTAATGCTTCAATATAACTATGATTACCAAACGGTACTAAACGAAACCGTTTAAAAGTTAAATTCATTTTCCTTGCAAGTGATGCCAGTAAAAGAGTTGTTTGTCCCCATGCAGCATTTATTTCACTCCAATCTACTGGTGCACTAGGTAAACGTCCTAAACGAAACGAATTAATAGTTCCAAAATGTCCCGAATGCCAGATGTGAAATGTAGCATTGAAGACATTTGTTTTCTTCAGTCTTTCAAGTTGAGAAGCTGCATAGGCCAATTGACATTCCAAGCTAATAAAAATATTTCAGTAAATATATATTTAATGTGTACATTATATTTCTATTGATATAAACAATATAAATACATGCATTATCTCTCACTAATTACCTTCGACATTCATCATCTCCTAACATCAGATCTCTTTTGTGTCTTGAGTATTCTCTCCAATATCTTTCTTCTTCGTTTTGCAATCTTACTCTTTCTTTCTCTTGTTCTGCAATAGCATTTCTTGTAGCTATTTCTTCTTTCCTTAAGGCTTCTAATTCACTTATCATTCTATCTTCTTCGGATTTCGCATCTTGTAATTCCTTTGTTAAATTTTCCATCTCTATATCTTCATATCCCAATTGCTGTTGTTCAGATTCCAATTTTTTTAAATATTCATTATAGTCTGACCATTCTCCTTCTGTCATTCGTAGTTGTTGATCCATTAACAACAATAAACTGTCTGTACATTCATCGCAAAGTGGATGGTCTGCAGAACTACTACTACTTAAAATATCAAACAGCGTTGCCCTTACCTTCATATGATATAAAATAAATAATTATTTATACAATTCATTCGAGAAAATAATTTTTTAAAAAGTTTAACATACTTTTAAATGATGACTTAAACTTTCTGTTTCACCAGAATCACCAACCAGCATAAAACCATTAGTTCCATTTCCTGATTCTGTTAATCTGAATGGTGGAACTAAATGTTCCAAACTACCACTTGGAGGTTCTAATTCTCCAACAACTTGTTGCTGTAGGGGTACTATCATTAAATAAAATCTGATGAATTTATATATTTTTTATAAACTGTATGATTCATACAGTATCATATATATGATATAACTATTATAAAAATTGTTATAACTTTGTTGTATAAATATGATTTGTGTGTGTGGGCGTGTGTATATATTTATATATTTATATATATGTATATATATATATATATATATATATATATATATATACATGTATTAATATATATTCATATTTCATCATGTTTTCGTATTATTGTGTGTATTTGTCGGAGAATTAAAAGTCTATAACAATACTCTTATATAATGTACAGCTACCTTTATAATCATTATCAACGTAGCATTTTAATACCTTATTTTCGAATATGTAAAAAAAAATGATATTTAACAAATCAATAGTTTAAAATAGAATTTACCTACGTGAGAGTTCGGCCAGAGTATGTTCTCCTAGATGGTTAAAACTGGGATCTAATCTCAATGGCTGTAAGCACCTCTGGCACGCGAAATTTACGTTAGTTTTCATATCCACCATTGTATTATTTACTCCTTCAATGCACAATTTAATTTTACAAACCAAAACTCTTCAATCGTAAACTTTATTGATAAATACGTTCTAGACGCTTGGAAGACAAAATCAGCTGACTGTGTTTCCTTATTTACCGCAAGGAGGCGTTAGTATTAACAAAACAAACAAACCATAGAATATTATAAGAAAAATTATTAATTGCATTTTAATATATAAAGTTTATTAGAATTGAAAATACTTTACTTTTTAGATTTCATTTTGTGCAGCCATTATTTACATTTTTTATGGAAATTAAAAATTTTTGTAATCAATGACGTAAGTGTCATGTTAAAGACCAATCATAAATTAGGAAAAGTTAGACTGATTCGATTTTATCTTTTAGAAAAAACAAAACTATTACGATGTGCTATAAATAAAAAAATGATAGTGTATTTTTCATAGAATTAGTGCTTTAGAAGATATTGCAGTAATCAATTTTCTTTTGCGTGGATATATATATATATATACATATACACACGCGCAAAAGGTTATGTGCTACAAAATACTGCTTATTGGTTATGAAAATGATTTTTGTTGCAAAAAGGTATATAAAACTAACACAAAACTGAATATAAAAAGATTTTATATTATATACACATAATAATAATATTGATCTGTTTTATAACCTTAATAATTATATTCCTTATCATATTGATAAGAAAAGAATATTTTTCTTTTCATCCTTTTCTATATAATATAACAATATTTTATATTAATAATAGGTTCCAAAATGCATATTTAGATTATAAAAATTATTCTAAACGAGCAAAGAAGAAAACAACAAAGACTTCCAAAAACACGTCATGAATGAACACACAGAAAATTCTTTACCTCATACTCAAGTTATAAGAAACATGAATGCAGGAAATATATTTTACATGCCACTAACTTCTTTTGCTGGTATGTATATTAAAATAATTTAAAGGTATATACTTATCGAAGTAAATATTTTATATATATTTTTTGTTTTCAATTATTATAATCTTTCAGAGATGTGGTACCAGATATTCTTGTGGGCATTATTTTCTTCTATATTTGTTCATATGATAGCTGGTACAATTTGTTTTGCCACTTTACGACAACATAAGTATGGAAAGTATGTAGAACTTTTAAATAGATACTATTGCACTTAGTGATCTTTATAAAATTATATAAAGATCTATAAATATTTTTTTTCTTTTAAAGATTTTTTCCACTCCTTATAATAATAATGGGTATATTGCTACCATTGACATCAGGGGTATTAAGTTCTGCTGCTGTTGCATTTGTTTATCGAGCATCGAGCCATCAAATGCCACCATTATATGCATTAGTATGGGGGATTGGGCAGACATTTGTTGCTGCTTGTGTTGGATTCACTAGAATCTTGGCAACTTTATAATATAAAAATATGATTAAACAGTAACAAAAGATAACAGTAACAACTAACATAATAATTGTGAATCGAATTTTAATATATAATTACAACTTGTATAAATATGTAGCACAAATTTATATTATTATGCTTCAGATTTTTGTGATTTTATATGAGTATTAATATTATCAGGAATCGCTTTTATTTGCTCCAATTTATTGTTTAATGCTTCTTGTGCTTCCATTTTTTCAATATTTTCAGAAGATGATATGCTACTTCTTACTAAATCTGTAAAATAATGCGATAAATTTGTTATAAATATTTAAACATTATGCTACCAACATGTATAAGTTTAATTCATATACTGTCCATAAAATCTTAAAATAAAGTTATTAATGTTATGATATGATGATATCCAAATATACTTTACTACATTACTATACTATACAAATAAAGCACAGATTACTGCAATTTTAGATATTAATACTATAAATGCATACCACAATATTTGCTCAATAATTCTGCAGTTTCAGGTATTATGTACAACTGAAGAAAAGACAAAACCATTGACACGTGTCTTCCAGACATATGTATAATATTTTGTGTTGCTGCTGTAAAAAGTAAACTTGTCACCAAATTTAATGCCAATGCTGGATCTTGTGTTATTTTCAATTCTTTTAATAAAGCTTCTTTATGAGTAAAAATAATTTGTTTATTTATATCTTTATTATGTTTCTTTTGTATCACAGAACAAGCTTGTAATGCTGGAGTAGTAAGATTTAAAAAATCTTTGATAACACATTTTGTAACAGCTGAATATATGTCATTAAGTGGTTCTTGAACATCTGAAGGTAGTTCAACAAGTATTTTTTTTATTCCATTAAAATCTATATTATCAGGATATTGCAATTTATTTTGTAAACTGGCCAATTTAAATAATCGCGTTACAAAATCGCGACATAATGATTTCATTAAGTATTCTGTTAAAGATGTACGTTGTCCTTGCTGTTCAAAAAGTTCAATGCTTTCATTGAACATTTTAATATTCGTTACTAGAATAATTAAATCCTTTTTGAGTTCATCCGTATTAAATACATCACTAGATTCTGCTAATTTTTCTGCATAACATAGTGCATGTTCATTTACTTTTTGTTGCAACATTAAAGCTAATTGATCTGCCAAATCATCTATTATTGAAATTTCACGATTTTTTAAAAGTTCAGCTGTAATATCCTCTAATGATACCAATTCATGCTCCACATTTTTATCTTTAGTATATGTGTTTTCTTCGTCCGAAAGATCCTCGTTAAATTTTTGTTGCAGATACTTTTTCTTTGTCGATTTGGTCTTAGTTTCTCTTCCTTGATTTCCACCACCTGCTTTTCCACTTGTTGCTTTCTTACGCCGTTCCTCTTTTTTATGCGTTTTATTATTTCGAACTATACTGTCATCACTCTTGAACTTGATTTTATCTTCACAAATTAATTGTAACCACTTTCCACTAGTTACCACAATTTGTGCTTTATTCTCTGCAATTTTATATAAAGATTGTAATAAACTTTGTAAAAAATCATCAGAAACTAAAACCGTTTCCATGAATACTTTGACTGGACAGTTCTCCAAAACTTTATTCAAAAAAATTTGAATATCTTGATCAGTAAGCATTGAAGGCAAATAATCACGAACATCTGTGAAAGATCTTGTATTAATAGTGTCATTGGCAATAGTTTTAAGTTGATCTACAATAATATTATTGACTGCCACTGAATCCAAAAAAATTATATCATCATTTGGAAAGTACTTTTTAATGGTATGTTTTGGATCTGATATTCCAAGTCGAGCGAGTGCATCATATTCTACAAAAAAAAAAATAATATCAATATATCGATTAAAAAAAAAAAAAAAAAAAAAAAAAAAATGCATACCTAAATATCCATTTTGTTTATAGAAATCATGAATCCATTGAGTTTGATTTTTAACATAAATATGGGGTAAAAACATACTAGTTTTTATTTGATCTCCTGTTACAATACCTGATATTTGTTTCTTTTGTTGGAGATCACCCAATATTGCTAAAAATAATTTGCAAACAATGTCAATTATATAGAATTATATATAGGAATAAAATATTTTTTTGCACAAATTTATGTGAATACTTACGGAATATAACAAAATCAGGAACAGAACATTCCTTTGAAATTAAAGAAAGAGAAATAGGTTTTGTTACAGCAGATAAAGCACCTCTTATTTTGGCTTTATTTGTTTTAATAAATCTATTAGTATAGTATATTTGCTTATCTTGTGTAACTTCTACATTTGCTATAATTTTTCGAGTCAAGGCAGTTTCTATAGTTGTTCTTATAAATTCTGCTGGTAAATTATAAAACAATGTCAAATCTACTACTTTGACATAATGATGCTGCCAGAGTTTATCATTTATATCCTTCATCATCTGTCCCCAATATTCTTCATTAATTAAATATCCTATAACTACGTGAATACCAGAATCACATGTCTGAATTTCATTAGCTAAAGTTGTTATTTGAGACAAACTGACATTAAGAATTTGTGCTATATCATTCAAATTCATTCTACCACCATGAAAACTTAATTCGTCTATGATCTGTGTTTTAAGATATTGTCGCGTAACATATTCTTTTCTATCATTTGTAAAGACCACATCCAAACGCTTTGTCTCTATGAGCTTTGCTACAATTTCTATACAGTTGCTCTCTGTTAACCTAAAAAAATAATTATGTCTCGTTATTATTCGTCATATGAATAAATCGTTTATGTCAAATGACATTTACTATACGTATTTTGTGTTATAACTTTGAAATAATATAATTGTATCATTCCATATGTTTAATTTTTTTTTTTTTGAATGAATATATGTAAATTGTTATTTACAAAAGATAAATAAAAATAAAAAAAAAAGTAATAATGCAAATAAAATACTACGTGTACATTATAGCGATCATTTGACTCTTTGTAATAATAAAATTATAATAAATACTACTGTGTATATAAAACCTACTTTTGCAAATTACTACTAAGCTGAGCATTTTGAAAGTCTGCCGCCAATTTCTCAATTTCGTCCCAATCCATGATGGTCTTTCTGAAAAAAGTGCTTCTTACTATTTATAAACTTTCTTTATTTTTGAAATTTTTTATATTTCCTTCCTATACTTATTGTATATATGAAAAACACTTATCAACACTTTAACTCGTACAATCCATGAAGTTATTAATATCTGGATACGAACATATATCAAACTTAGATACGAAACATATATCACAATTTTAGTTTCTATTGAAGTGCTCCGAGACAATTTTCAGTTATGTAAAATAATTTCTATTTTTATTTACATAAATATATATGTGAAACTGAAGACCATAACAATTGGAAATCCATTTCTTGTAAATATTTATCCATTTAAAGTAACTTTAATGAAAGACTCAAACCAACACACGAGTTTCCAATCTAGGTTATGTATTATAGAGCCTCACTTCATGTTGTAAATTTATAGATTATTCTCAGTAGAGACATACGTAGATTAAAATATTTATTTTTACATTTATACTTATTTTTTTTTAAATCTATAAAAATGATATAAATAAATAAATAAAAAGGGCAGACAAGGGAAAGAAACCAAATATTCTTCCACTTATGCTTATGTTTATTTATTAATTGTTGCGACGGAAGTCATCAAACTTGAAAATTTAATAAAAATATTCACAATGAGCATTCTTTCTTTCTTACGTTCTTATCCGTTCTCTCTCACATTCGTTTCTGTTCGCGCACGAATGCACGCGACCTTATTGCGCGTATATGAGCCAATTTTGCCAACATTAAAGTCGTGTCCAACGGATTGGGACAAGTATTTTGTTGCCTGGCTATGCTGTATGAATGCATGGTATGATGTATATGTACATTCAATTATTAATAATTATTATTAATAACAACAATAATTAATACGAATAGAAAATCATGTTTCATTCGAATGACTTGATTTTTTTTTATTTTTTTTTTATTTTTTTTTATTTTTTTTTTTTTTTTTTTTTAAGTTCGATGAACATTAACTTCATTAATTACTCATCTTTCGTCCTTACATGTGAGTTACGATTGGTAATGTCAGTGCAACATGCAGGTTCGGATAAGTGAGGCCTTCAGTTTCGACGACTCGCTGTTAATAACGGGATTTGACAAATGCCACACAAGCATTCTCATTTTTCTCAATTTCAAAGTTGTTCAATGATAATACACTAGCTGCAGTCTTTACAGCCGTCACCCTGGCACTGAAGTATAACGATGACGCAATCCCTTCGCAGCGATACCGATTTGAATCAGCTGCTTAACCGATCGTATTACCGATTCAATCGAGTATTACGACCATATCATCACCACGTACCGTTCTTTGTGAATGAGGTGGATGCAAAGGTGTTGATAATCTACGCCATGGCTTACGCGCTGCTCTTCGTAATTCCACCGATGATAAACTTCTTCTGATTCGTCTGTAATGTAATAAGCATTGATGATGAAATCTTCATTTCTATAAGTTCGTATGTTTTAATAAATTTATTATTATTATTATTATTATTTTTGTTTTCTTTTTCTTTTTTTCCTTTATTACTAACTTCGTCTGATCTGAAGCACGAAAGTAAACATCATCTGGCGCATCCATCCACGATATAACTTGTTTACGCGCGTTACTCCTAGATAAAGGTGGACCATGTGGCAAGGAGTGCGGATGCACAGCTCTTCCATTAAGCGGTGGTGCTAACGGAAGAACAGCAGGAGCAGTATGTTCTAAAGCATGTTTTGGATGTAACTGCTGAGAATGATGAGCCCTTTTTGCAGGTGGTCCAACAGGGAGCCCTGCGTTCAGGGCAATACCTGTAAAATAACACAAGATCTCTTTTTAAACTGCTTGTCGGTTGTAAGTTTTTTTTTAAAATCGCTCATGTTTCTATCCATGGACGCAAGAGCATCGCTAAAACATACTGTTGGAATACATATATCTAATACAATTTAAAAATATAATTCTTTGAATATCTATACATTGCACTATCAAATTTTTATAATTCTCAATAATAAAGTTTTATTATTCTAATAGATTAATCAGAAAATAATAAATCTCTTAGAAACAGTTGTACACTATTTAAAGTTTGACAAATTTTATCTTATCTTCTTTTTTTTTCTTTTTTTCTTTTTTTTTCTTTTTTTTTTTTTTTTTTTTTATTATTATTATTATTAAAATACTTTATCTTGAAATATATAAACTTCATATGGTAAGTTTACATAAACTCGTCTGATAATATTTTTCAAATATCGGTGATAATTCATAAGCACATAAGTTCTTCAATTGTCATGTGAACACTCCAACATTCATGTTCATTACAATCTCATATTTTGTTTTCTCTGTTCGTTAAATTTGTATTTTACCTTCATCCCAATCCACATCAGAGTAGTAGCCAGTAAACAGAGACAACATTCAATACTGGGGAATAGGCTTTTACCATAAAGAAAAAGTTCTAATATCAATAAGTATTACTTAAACTTACCATCCGAACCATTGATTTCATCGAATGGAGGCCTTGTGCGTTTTAATATAGTTTGTTGAGTTTGCATAGCAGGCTGTACTTGAGGTGGAGTTAATGTAAGCCTGTCTACTTCTGGTTTATTCGGTACTCTTTCATATAAAAGACTACCATCTGTAACATGTCAATATTGTTAAGAATATAACAAAAAATTATTTAATTTAATTATAAAGTTTAAATTTTATAATATTTTGTAAAATGTTTAATTATGTTAATTATGAATGAACGATATATATACACACACACACACACATATATATATATATATATATACCAGGTGCTTTAGGAGGACGAGGAAATGAAACACGATCTGGTTGTTTACGTTGCGCTGGTGCTGTAAGTGTCAACCAATCCCAATCTCCAGGCTGTCTTGGAGAAGGATGATCACCCAAGCGTGTAGCTATATCAGTAACACGAGGGCGAGGTCTGGGTCGAACTGCACGTGCTAAAATGCGCAATTCAGCAGGACTTTTAGAAGTTAATTGAGGCGATGCACAAAGATGTCGTAGTGGAGCCGCATTCACCGGCTGATGAGGTGCTCTGGCAGCGTGACGTGTACGTAACTGGGTAGCGCAAAGTCGACGAGCAGCTCGCGCTAATGCCGGAGTACGTAAATAAAATGCTGAGCGCGTTTTCATAACAGGCCGTGGAGATCCACTGCCGCCGCCTCCACTTGCTCCGCTTCCTCGTAAGTCAACACCATGAGCACTGGCATAATGTCGGCTAAGGTGAGCCTTCAGTTTAAATTCTTTACCGCAAGAAGGAATGCTGCAACGATGTGGTCTATGAGCACCACCAATTCCTTTACTTTCTTCATCAGATCCAGCACCACCTCTTTTTCGTTCCAAATCTACATCATCGATACGGGAGGGAACCTAGACAGTTACACAAGAAATATTTAATTAACTTGTTAATATGCCGAATTACATTAAGTTATATTTAATAAAACAGTAATCTAATATACCTTTAATCCGCCATATTTTTTCCAATACATCCAGCAAGATTGACATAAACGACATTGCATGTGTGATGGCCCCCAGGCATACCATTGCGAACTTTGCATAACTTGACAGCTCTCACAAGGTTTACCACCAACACCAACCATAAGTATACCAGTATTATCACTGGTCATATTACCATTGCTATTGCCATTCAGTACATTAGTTGGTTTTCCATTAGAATTATTAGTATTTCCTAATGGAACAATCGTAGTTCCAGAAGCCGTAGCAGAAGGTACAGGTGTTTTATTATAATTTGGTATATAAACTTGTTTTAATTTACTTTCTGCTTCTACAGCCTTTACCCTTTTTTGTTGCACGTAACGATCAGTTGTTTTCCACATATAGTAATATTCAATAACATTTTTCAATGTCTTCCAAGGTAGCTGAAGCATTAAGTTCATAGATTGTATTAAAAACATATAGTTGAAATAAAATTATATACTAATAAATCCTAGTAAATTTATATGCTTACAAAATCCTGACGTATATCAGAGAAATCCTTTCCATATTTATCAAGAGCTTCTTCAAACAAATTTGCCTCTGAGGCACTCCATTCTTCCATCTCATCTCTGCATAATACTGGGCCAGAACTAGGCACTAGCGATGACATGGCTTTAGCTACATCATAATTGTGTCGATGTAAAGTATCCATTGCATGAAACTAAAATAATTACAATAGGATATTAAATATTTTTTAAATACAATGTTATATCATTATTCTTACATACAATTTTGATACTTACTAGAGTAATATCTCTGGATGCAGCAGCTGCAGACATATGCAAAGAGGGTTGTTTGACAGATGATGAGCAATCAAGAGCTCTTGCGAAAGTGCCAACAGATCGACTAACAACAAGGAATTGATCAATTTGACGATCTGTCAATGAATGACGTGGTGTCCATACTAATGTTTCTAGATCCTGTAACCTGCGAGGATCTGCTTCTTTTTCAGCAGGTGTTAGGGGTAATGGTGCTATTCCATCAGCTTGATATCTACTTCCTACTCTAATTTCACCTATAACATTTAATATAGTAGGCAAATAAATATATTAGACATTAAGAAATTGACCTTAGTATTTTCACCTAAATAATTACCCTTATCAGCTAACAAAGTACGCTGAGCTGGATCGAAAACTAAGCAGTAAAAGAACGAATCTTCTTTATTTAGATAACTTAATAACGATTCTGTCTCATTTAACAATGTCACACAGCATTTGCCTCTTATATGTGTGGCAGGCATTGTTTCTACCTGTCGAGATAAAAAAAGTTCTCTATGCTTCATTTGATGGCGTTGTTTAGTACTTAATTCCATTACTCCTCCAGGACCTACTACACTTTCTTCCATCCCTGTATTTTAAAAAAAAGTTTATACTATTGTGATTGCACATACTATATAGACAACTAATATTATGAAAAGCTTAAATGATATTTTGCTAAATAAAGAATGTAATAAAATTCACGCTTAATCAAACTTTTGTTTTATGTTCGTTAAATGATAAAGTTAGTAGAATGTATTTTTTTCATTGTAAATATCTTTCAATATAAGAAAATTTTAATTTATACTAGTACTTGTACATATAATACAATAATAATAATGTTAAATCGAATTTAATACCCACGTATATATTGTGCTAGTATCCACCAATTAAAGTGGTTATTTCTTATCGTTTATAAAATAATACTATTTTCTTAGCACTTATTAGTATGATTTTAAAATGCTTTTTTATCAATATAATATTTTCTATACTATTAAATCAAATGTAAATGAAACGCAGGGATATGGCAGAATCAATCAAAATGCGCAGTAATGAACCAAAAGATACTAGCAAGAGCGGGCAACAAAAAAAGGTGCAAAAAGAATTGTAAGTCAATAACATTCATAGCAAAAAGAAAAGTATTTTTAAAAGAACACAACATATTTAGAGAAGCCTCAGATTACTAAAGAATCATCATTCTATACGGCGGGATTTTCTTGCGAGTTGATGTGGATGGTATGATACTAATAAAAATGATAAATGAAAATGAAGCCAAACATATCATCAAGAGATGGAAATGCTGAATGAATAGATTTTAATGTGTATAATTATATATTAATTAAATATATATATATATATATTGTTCAGTAAATGTATACTATTTAAATTATTAACAATTTGATGCAATATGAAGTATCTGCATGATAAAAAGATGTATGGGCTTTTCTATAAACATTACATTTATAGACGGAGTTACCGAAAACTTCTTACGCTAAACTACGAACGAGAAGCTCCGATTAACCCAAATTGTTGTCTCTTTGGCCTTACAGTGAATTTCAGCCTTTCTTACAGCAAACACCAAGATTACAAAGAATTTTTAAATCCCGCCGTTGAATCTGTAGCCTTACATCATCACTGGCTTCTATATACAACTAATGAAATAATTAAGGAGCACAGTTGTGACACTCACTGATGAATCTACAATTATTTATTATTTGTTTATATAGATGTGCACAAAGTATTTTTTAAGTAATATTTTTTATACATTAATTAGTTTAAACTTCTAAATTTATATAAAAGAACAAACCTTCTTTTCTCTAAATAATACTTTATTTTATGATCTAAAAAAAAAGAAAAAAAAAAAAAAAAAAAAAAAAAAAAAAAAAAAAAATATGATAGAATTCTGGAAAAATGCTTTTTTTTGTTCTGTATTTATTTATGCATAAGCAATATAAAAGTAATTAATAAAGTATAATATAAGTCTATACCATATTTCATAAATTTATAACCTTAGAAATATGAAAATCTTTATATTATTTTTATTTTATTACTAGATTCATCTGTAGTGGTCACTTTCTAATCGACTGCTCACTCACCATGGGGCTCTTGGGCCTCCGATAGCGGGGCCTTCAGCCAGCCCCCTTTCCCGCCCCCTTTGTTCATCACTTTCGGCCCAATCCCATCTTTATTAGTGATTTCCTTAGTAGAATCTGGATTCTCCAGTTTCGTACTCTGTGTGCTCGCAGGAGATTCTGACCTTTGCTGCTCCGCACTTGCCACTGGAATTTTTATTACAAAACCCACTCTACTATTTTTGATTATTAATTTTTGAAACTAATTCAACATAAAAAACAAGGATAGTCTACAAACTAAATAGTAGACTTAGTAAAAGAATAAACTAACAAATTTTCTTTATGTGTCATTACATATACAATAGATAACAAATCTATGAAATTTTATGAAAATATATGTGTCAGTAAAGATACATATATGTCTGTATAAACAGAATTTCGATTACATTAGCCAATTCCCACCACGTTTCTATTTACAAATTTAATTTACATTGAAACTTATTTTTTGAAGCTACAAAATAATATAATGGCATAAATTCATCATTATAATAAATTTTCTCTGTAGATAGATTTACTATAATATATTATAGAATAAGTAATTAACTTTCTTCTTCTTTTTTATTTTTTAATACTAGTAAAAAGTAATTATTAATTACAGACACACAAATTGGCAAGTATATAATAATAAAACTATATACACGAATAGTATGGTATTAGTAAATTGTTATATATTGAGATATTTTTAATTTTCTTTCTTCAAAATCAAATGAGAAATAAAGAACAAAAAAAGCAAAAAATGATCATTTCTTTTATATATATATATATAAAATGTAGTCATATCACATACTTGTGTATATATATTTGTTTATATATGTATAGATTGCACATAGCTTTTTTCAGAAAATTTGCACAGCTCGAAATGCGGGGAACGAGGCAGAATAGGGAGAGTCTGATTTGAAACAAATACCGGCGGATAGAGATACAATACAAGTAGAAGCACATAAGAGTGAAAGAGAGCGGATGCTCACACACACATTCTTACTCGCGCACGACATAAAAGGAGGGAGGAGGGAAGGAGGAGGGCAAGAGGGAAGGTGGAGGAGATGGAGGTAGATGAGGTGGAGGAGGTGGAGAAGGTGGAGGAGGTAGAGGACGCATGGTGAGAGGAGAGGAGGGAACAAATGCTTAAAACGAAGATGGCTAGTGGAGGCCCACCACCGCCACCAGTTTTGCCCAGGCTCGCACACGAGTGTGTGTGTGTGTGTGTGTGTGTGTCTTCGTCCTTCTCCATTCGTGATAGGTATATACGTATGTATTGCAGTGTCCAAAGAGAGTAGTGGCGAGCTGAATGTGTGTGTGTGCGTGTAAGTATATGTGTATACGTGCAAAAGAGAGAGAGGGGGGGGAGAGAAAGAGAGAGAGAGAGAGAGAGAGAGAGAGAGAGAGAACACACATAACACGTACCCGACCAACCCCTGCGTCAGTCATTCATTTAGTTGAGGCTGGCGGGAGGAAAGGTGGAGGTGGAATGGGGGCCTTGGCGGGTGTACCGCCCCCCCTAACCACCCCCAGCAGATCGATACAACCCCCATTCCACCCCACTGCCACCCCCCAACTTTACTTATTATACATTCCCACCCTTACCCCCCAGCCGCCCCCTCAATCCCCACGTCTCATTATCTTTGCCACTGCAAAGGAAAAATCGAGAGAGTTTCGGAGACTCACACACTCGCACATGTATATATGAATGAGCGCGCGTAGAGACACATGCATACACGTACCTCCATTTCTATCGTATTCTGTCGCTTTATCATTTACAAATGTATTTATGAACGCGTTTATATGTATATATATGTATAAATTTTATCGAACTTCATTTTTTAGGTCCTATGCTCAATTCTAATCGTTGCTTTTTCTCAAATTTGTTTCTATTCATACGGTGAGCTTCGAGTAACGTTTAGATTTTAAATGAAAGCTGTTATTTAAGAAATTCGACTGGATAAATGATGAAAAAATTATAATTTATATAAAAATTACGAATATATATGTATATGTGTGTGTGTGTGTGTGAGTATATATATGGATGTGTGTACATACTCAATAACTTACTGATCATATTAATGTATTTTTTCATTTGAAAAACGTAAAATCTCACGCAAATTTCACGCAAATTATCCGTTTTCCCCTCAACAAGAGAAAAAAAAAAAATACCAGAAAATTTAATATATTCTTATTCTTAATAAATAATACAAATTAAGATCTTTAAAAATCTTATGTTATATATATTTTTATAATTAAATATAGAAATTTATAGCAACTTATAGATTTAATATATACTATAATTTACTTACACTGATGTTTGTCTGCTAACATTATTAAAGTATTAGGTAAATCCCTCCGCCTAAAAAAGCACATGACTTTTGCTTCAACATTTCCACTTGCGGTCTAAAACAAAACAATACATCAATGTAAATTATAACATGTTTTTCTTTTTTTATTAATACAAAAAGAAATACTAGTTGTGACTTATTGGCATATACATTTAAACCACAAAAATTTCAATTAACTTAATCTTAGAATTTTATCTTACCTTATTTAACTCTTCTATCCTTCTTATTTGGTAAGGAGAAGTGGAAGAAGTTTCGAAATATACATAATCTGAAATAATATGTTTATATTATATATGTTATTTCAATATAACAGAATTCCATTGAATTAAAAAAACTATATTATATATATTTGATATATTTTATATATATATATATAATAATATATAACAAAATATGTTAATAAATTGTAAGAATTTAAATATATTCCAGAATATATAAAAAATATTTTAATGATTAAAAATGATATTAATCGTTTTCGTTTTAATTGAACTTATTCGCTTCGAAAAGTATTAATTATCAAACATTAAATAAATTATTATTACGAAGTATATAAATAAAATTTATATTATTTTTTTCAATAAAGTTACAAAAATATTCGCACAATCTTAACGATACTTTTACTGTATTATCCAGAATTCAACGAATGTTATTAAAATGAACTTTCATGTTTTTCAAATATGAAAAATTTCATATCGCAAATTTTCTTTTATAAATGTATAAAACGTTGTTTAATCACACCATCTTATCTAATATCTACTATCAAAAGAACGCAATTCGAAATATTATTTGCATCGTTTTTGCGTTTCATCCTCTTGCGACGATATATTTTAATTTTTTTTTTTTTTTCCTTCTTTTACTTCACTAATGTATATCTCGCACAATATAGCGCAAGTATAGGGGAAAAAAAAAAGAGAACATCGTCTGCGAACGAATATAAGTAACTAGAGGTATTGGCGGGTAAATAGGAACTATTAAAATTCGTCGATTTTATAGAAAAATGATGTCGAACGCGTTCGAGAAATGTAAAATTTCGAAAAAAAAAAAAAAATGAAGAAGAATACTTATAGAAATAAAGAAATGATTTCAATCAACGGGATTCATCGTGCAAGAAATTAGCATGACCCGAAGGAAGGAGCAATAGTGGGTCCGGTATAGGGTGGTAGGGAGATAGGTAAAATATGGGGAGAGAGGGAAAAGAGGGGAAGGGGGTTGAAGGGGGAGGGTAGCGGGAGGGTAACGGTAGGGAGGAAAAGAGAAAAGCAGACGTAGACGTACAGGACGCTGCACGGTAGCGGGGAAGCGGTAGCAGGAGGGAGAAGAGGAGGAAGAAGAAGAAGAAGAGGAGGAGGAGGAGGAGGAGGCAAAGAGAGAAAGAGAGAGAGAGAGAGAAAGGGGAGCAGAGGGGTGGACGGAGAGGAAAAGAGGGGAAAGACGAAGAGAGAAAAGAAGAGGGGTCTCGCGCGCGCGGGGAGAAAATGGGGTAAAACGGGGACGCCATAGCGATGCCATTTGCAAACATTAATTTGTCCTAGGTTAATTAAAGCCGCGTTGTTTGTGGTGTTCGAGCTATGGTAGATTGTTCACGGGGCTTCGAATAAAATATTTTTTTTCTCTCCATTCTTCCTTCCTCCTCTCTTTTTTCTTTCTTTCTTTCTTTTCTTTTCTCTCTCTCTCTCTCTCTCTTTCTTTTTATATTTTACCTCCCACTCGGTACATGTTGGCCGTCATGTTGCTGGCGTCCTGTTGTCCAGCCCCGAGAGCGAAATTGGCGTTCTCGTGGTTCTCTCGGTATTCGGCCGGCATCGGCACGAACTCGTCCTTCAACGACGCGAATTTATCGGCCCCCGAGAACACTTATTCCACCAGTCCACGAAGTTTAGCACGTCGCGGTGTCACTTCATCGTGTTTGTTGTCTCTCTCGCGCACGCTACTTCTCTCGTCTTGTACGGCTCTGTCTCTCTCACTCTCTCTCTCTCTCTTCTGTCTTTATCTCTATCTCACATTACACGCGCACCGCGCGCTTCTTTACCAGCAGCTGTCTCACCGCACTGCCACTCGACGCGATGACTACGAAGGCGACCAGGAGACTACCTCTCACAACGACGCACGTAGAGACGCACGCGGAAGAACGAAGCAAAGGATATCGCACGCGCGCACAGAGCAACTCTTCACTCTATCTCTATCTCCCTCTCCTTCTTTCGACGTTCATATATATATATATATATATATATATATATATATATATGTATGTATATATATATATTATATATATATTATATATATATGCATATATCGTCTATATCTATTTTCTTGGTTCTTCGTCTACTCGTTTTCTCGTTTCTATTTTTCACGTATTCGTTACGATTATGAAGATGAAGAGAACACAAAAACGGCGAAAAAGACGGTGACGACAGCAATACCGAAGAAGAGATACATCGTCAGTGACCGTTGCTTCGTTCGCAAAGGAACAACGCCATTTTCATTCTGCCGCGAGCGCGAGCAGGCTGTACGATCTTCTCTCCCTCCACCAGCATCACTACTGCCACCACTACAACTATCGCCCACTGTCGTCGCTACTCGTATACCTTGGCAATCTTTAATGCCGCGTGTATTCGAAATGTTATCACCACTTTTCTTATACACAATTTATTTTCAAACAATATCTAAAATTTAAAATTCGAAAGTTCGATGATTTAATGTTCGTTTAAAAGTATTAAAAATAACAGAAGATCGTATAAAGATGTCCTCTTTGAGAAGATTGCGACACAATATCCTAACTAACGTATGCAAAATTATCACTCTATCATGAACACCACGAAACACGAACGTTGATCGAATGATATCAAGAGAACTTAACATTTTATAGATTAATATCGACTACACAAGCGCCATTTATTTAGTCTTCGTTTTTCTGCTCGTTCATTGGTCGCTTTGCATATAATGGAAAACATAGGAAACAATTAAGTACAAGTGTCGCCATCTAACGTATTTTTAAGCAGTCAATAATTGTAGCGCTAAGTTTAAATTGTTTCAACAAGTAATCATTTGTTATAATATAATCTTCGATGTAATTTTATTATTTGTATTATACAGTTTATAATTTCATTTAAATTTTATCTTACAGAAATCAGTAAATAGTCTTATATAAAATAATACTCATTTAATTAATTTATGAAATATTTATATTTACGAAATTAGTCTTTCTATACACTTCCTTACGCGCAGTCACATATTTCTTCTTCACTTGTATTGTTAAAAGGTATATGTAAAAAGATAATTAAAATTACTCGCTAAGACGCAAAGCTTATGCGAGATTGCCTTTTTTGTGAAAATGTTTGGTAATGCGCCTGACTAACAATAAATAGAATGACGAACGTGTCGATTTGATGCGAATACGTAACACAGAATTATATTCATATGTACATACATAATAATAATAATAGCACTAGCAGTTGCGGTTGTAATAGTCTAGTAATTTTAGCAATAATAGTAATAGTTGTAATTATAATAATAATAATAATAATAATAATAATAATAATAATAATAATAATAATAATTAATAATAATAATAATAATAATAATAATAATAATAATAATAATAATAATAATAATAATAAAATTATAATAATAATAATAGAAATAACATAAGTGCTTTATAATAATAATGAAAATAATAATACACTTTCATGGATATTTATAATTTAATTTCATGAAATTTAGATAGTTATGTAAGGCACACCCTATGGTCTTTATCAAGTGATTTTGTCTTGTCATCAATGTATAAATAAATGTATACGGTTGTAATACACGACTAACTTAATTGATGTATATTATACTATCTGTGAGAATTATTAATATGCTAACTATAGGCAATAATCTGTTCTGTACATAATCCTATCTTTTTACTAATCTTTTAAGATGGGTAATCGTACTTTTTAATAATAATAATAATAATAAAATAATAATAATAAAGATAATAATAACATTAATAAGAACAACAAGATAATGCATATACACAGGGTGAGAGCATGCTTCTTTCTACATAATATGAAAATCATGTGCAGTACCGTCAAATACAAAAAAGAGAATAGACTTTGTTTCTTAATATTAAATTGTCTCTACACTCATATATCGTTTATATAATCAGAAGATCATGTCATATTCTCTTTATTTTCAAAAACATCGATTATATCGTAAAAAAACATTGTCCAACGATTTTATACGTTTCTAGTAATTTTGTTAAATTCAACTAAAAATACTACTCATGATATAATTTGGTAATAATCTAAAATAGCTATGCCAATGTTGACAGTTTATGCATTTGTATGTACAAGTATAACATCCAGATGGTATCCTTCTGGTTGCACATCCCTACTTACTATGATATTATTGTTTATGGATAAAAAAATACTAATATATCGCATTGTTGTTGCAGGGGCAGTGTTTTCATAGTTTTGTCCATTGATAAGGCACCAATTTATGGGATCCTGAGATTCAACCGGCATGTTTTGATAGATTTAGAGGCATATCTAAATAATAATGAACATAGAATTATTTTTTTAATTATACGTTCTAATAAGTTTAATTTATCAATACAAAAATATATTTAAAAAACATACCTGAAGGAGGAGTAAGCGTTTGTTCTCTGTAGTCTTTGTAATGATGTACAGGTGGTGATGGAGGATGAGGTGGTGGTGGGGCGTACAATGGCAAAGGGGGTGGGTAATGAACAGGTGATGGATAATGCATCCATAATGGAGCTCTATATGGTCCAGGAGGCAACATTGGAACACCATAGAGTGAATGATGCACAGTTGCATTGGTAGATCCAATATAAGGGTCCATTCGCACTCTCGGATAAGAGTTACTCGTTGAGTATTTCACAGGTTGCCTGTCATCTGGTTTCAACAAATTTCTTAAAAATCCTGGCTCAGGATTTGGTTTATCTTCTCCCAAAATACTAGTTATACTGTATGAAGATAACTGCTTTGGAGAAGGCGTAGAAGTACTGGTTATATTAACAGGCTGAGGAGTAGCACGCCTTTTTGATGCTTGATCCTCCAATGAAACTCTTTCTAGTTCCCTTAAAATACGTTTGCGAGGTGAAACAACATTAGGATCAAGGAGACGTGCTAATTTATCAACTATCAGACTTAAAGCTTTCCCAGATGATGTATCGTTCACTTTACGGCCTGGTTTTATATGAGATACTGAGGACTCTGGAATAAGCATTAAGGATGTGGGATCATGTGGACGACGACGTTTACGTGCTACCAAACGAGGATGCGCACAAAGCCGGGTTTTTGGATTTCTATGGTAATAAAAATTGAACTCTGTGGATATCCTGCGCCTGGGATTAGCTTGCTTCCAGCAGTGGTCTCTTTGCCAAGGGCTTGATTGAATCGAAGAATTATCATCAGAAACTGAAAATATATAATATTTTTAATTTATTCCTTCATTTGTATTTGTTTAAAGATATTATTCCTTTTAAACATACCGCTAAGAGAAGTGGTACTCTCTTGCCTGTTGGGTATAGTGCTTGCGGGTGGCCAGAATGTCTTTTTTGGAACAGGAAACCATGTTGTTCGTTCTCCATCTCTACGATGTGACAGCTCCAATATAAATTTTCCATCTTTAAAAAATTTTAATCTTCCTCCAGGAGTTGGCAAAAGATTACTATCAATACGTGGTTCAGTATGCTGTGTTGGTTGGGGACTTGTATTTTTACCATTGGTATTGGCAAGGGTTGGGTGCAATGTAGGAGGATCACGCGAGCACATCTCTGTCGTGCCCCTCACGTGACCTGTGTGAGCATGACATTCTGCTGACTTTTCACGCATGCTGATACTTTACCGGTATCCATTTTCCTCCACTTGACCTCCCATTCCTTAACCTCTGGATAACAGGTCTTATAAAATTATAGAATCTATGTGAGGTCTTCTTTTTGAATATTATATTTAAGAGCCAGACGTAGATAAATCTTGCTAAAGTATTCTTGTCATATCATTTGCCAGAAACATGTTTCTTAAATGAACTTTAAAGAACATCTGTCAGTGACAGAGATAGAATATAAAGTTTGTTATATACGATCATCAAGTCAAACACAATTTGGAATATTGATCTTGTAGAAGTGTCTTGTAGATTAGATTATTATATTAAAAGCTTGTGGAAGATGCATCAATGGTTGACAGGTAGTTTACATTGAAGACAAGCAAGCTTAAGACAGTGCCTGACAAGAAGTGATTATGAAAGCAGCATTCCTGTAGTATTCAATCAATCAGAAATACATTTTTTTTATAATCTGTAGTAGGTTGTAAAACGAAGATTTTGCATCTATAAAATCATTGTGGTAATATCGAATTACGATGCGGGCTATCATCGATACTCCAATAATGTTTTGTAGAAAATTTTAAAAGGAATCTGGTATACATAAGTGGCAGCCGCCAGATTCCCACCCACCCACGCACTGCCGCCTTTTGTAACGAGCCCTATTTCGTCTCCGAGTAGAGCCACATTGCAACGATATATCCTTAAATGCAAACAAATTGATTTTCTTCTTACGATTGGGACTACGGCTCAACTTGGCTTTCTAAACGCGAGATTTTCATGGACCAAACACGGGGACGGCACTTTGTAATGGAAAACACGTTTCGGCCGACACATGTGTTTCACTTCACCCACAAAAGATTCACGTGTTTGCGATAACCGGCCTTATTCGTTCGAGGATTCTTTGTAACGTGCACACACCGCCGTTTTTCTCATGATTTTTGATCTTTCAATGTAAAAAAACAAGAAATTCTCGCCTTCGTGTACTCTTCTCATCGACAACACTGTGGCGGTTCGCGGTCCGCGCGTTCCTCCGTTTCTTAGTTCAACTCCCACAATCAGTCTATGGAACTTCGGATATATAGAGTTATCATGAACTTGTTATATTAAGCCTTACGGAAATTCAATTATAAAAAAAAATATAAGATGTACGATAGTATTAAATAATAGTAACTTGTATACTCTTCTCCTATATATTCGTACCGTAGTATTCGATTTTCTTATAATCGTATTCGTTACACACTTCACGAATTATAAAGTATAATATCTACCCGTCTGTTTAACAAATCAAATATGGATTCATCTATGCGCGCATTAGTTCCATTGATAGATCGTTAACCAATCGGAACGCGCGAATTTTGAGAAATCAAAAAGTGGCGCTTAAATTTATATTTAATCTCTAATAGTGAAAAAGAAATTTTTGTAAAGTCGAAATGAAAAGGATTTTCTGACATACGTCGTTCGTCTTTTATTTTCATGTTATCGAGATACGAAAGAAATGCAATTAGTTGAAGAATATAAAGAATTCGTCGAGCGAGATTCAAAGGAGATTTCGATTTTATGGAAAATCATACAAATATTTTGTTATTTTTTAAGTGCAATATCCGGCTATTGTTCTTCTATTATATTCTATATTTTCTGGGTATATGTTCACATAAAATTGTTTATTTTAAAATTTTATATTTATAAATATTTTTTTAACATTTAAAGGAGGATATTTTTGGTGGAAGTTGTCCTCTCTGGGCAGGTGTATATGCTCATTCTACAGCGACAGTAATTAATTCTAATAATGATTATGAATCAAATGAAACTATTGTAATAACAAATTTTAAAAATTGGTTAAGTTACATTGTTGTTAGATATGATAGTGAAACAAATTGTGAAATTTATTTTTTTACGAGCTTACTTTCTTGTACATTTGGTATTATATGGATTGCAATGTTTTCTGTATGTGGCAAAGGTGGATATAATAATAGAATGCAA